ATGGGAGGGGGGGGTGATGAGAGATGATACTAACTGTAAATTATGATTGCTGAGTGAGAAAGAGAGAGAGAGAGAGAGAGAGAGCGGACACTTATACCCCCAGGACACGTACTTAATTCTCAACGTTAATATTTCCTCTTTGGAATTTCCATCAACGGGTTCAGCCAAGCATTCGGACCGTGTGTGGTAGCTTTGAAAGCAAAAGGTTTGGGTGACGGTGACTTTCTCCTTTTTCCTACTGGTCAGTCCTGCGTAACCCGAACACTTCAGGAGCCTTTACAACAAGGCTACACAGACCTCCAAGCGTCTTTTGCAAACAGTCCCTTCTCGACCGAACTTGCGCCATCAGTCTCAGAAACGGGCTCAATACCCGCAGTGGACAGTGTGGAAAGCCGGGCCCGCTTTGGAAGACAAACCATGAGTAAACCCCACCAAGCAATGAACGGGAACATCCTGCTCATTTCCAACTTGTGTTCGAAAGGGCCCGTGCCGGTGCTGGGCTCTGCACGACTGGCCTGCCACGGCCTATCGTGCCTAGCCTCTTTCCCACTCAAATCTTATACACGACCTTAAAAGCAGAAATCTCCTTCTCGCGGTGCATCTGAAAGCTTTTCGGCAGGGAAGTCAGGCCTTCCAGCACATGCGCCTGGTTACAAACCAGGCTCTTCTCCTCCAGCCACTTTGGCAACCTATCGAACTCCGCAGCAAGCTTATGGTCGGCTTCAGACAGCCAACAGCCAAGTAAGCCACGAGCGAGCAACCCTGGTCCGATATCGCGCAGCAGAAAGCACCCAGCCGTGGCTTAGCGGTGCAATAAAACTCATCATACCGACGCTGTTTCGCAAACACGATCCAAACCAAAACATCCGTGTCAACGAGACCGCGAACCCAAATTTCTGTGCGAAGCGGAGGTGCTAGGGCAGATCAAGTAAAGATGGCGCGTGGTTGCAATGCCGTGGATCGGCGGAGCCGTCCCGAATACCTCGCCGCATATCCTTCTGCATGCGATGTCGTGCCGGAAAGATTAGTGGGCCAGTTAGTCTATCATCTGGTTTTGTTGCCCTCACTGACCTTTTCGAGATAGACATTTGGGGGCGTAAATCTCGTGTGCTCGCCTATCGGCGAACATCGTAAGTCAAGCAGGGCACTTCAGCACGCTAAGTGCCGCCCCTGAGTCGCCATGCACCCACATCATATGCGTGCCAGTCCCAAATCAGCTCGAGTCGCCTTTTCCATCCCGACTTCTTTGTGATGTATGTCAAATTGGACAATTCTCGGCACAGGCAGAAGGTGAGTGGACTTTCGCCTTGCATAGGCGCTTCTCAGCGTGCGTACTTCGCCTTAGCCCAGCCTGTCTGGTCGCCCGCCATCAATCCAAAGCCTTCTAATAACCATGATTGAGGGGGCCTGGAAAGCGTCCATACCAGACAAAGCAGGGCACGGGAGGCATTCATTCATCATCCAGCTTTTTCCCCAGCAAGGAGAACTCGTGCCCGGCAGACTGCCATGCATGTCGGCGCTACCTGAATACAAGCTGAAGAGGATGCGTGCGTCGCCATGTGTCCAGTTAACGGAGCTGAGTCGGCTGGCGATCCGACCCGCTTGCCGTTTATCCGTTTTTGCAGCCAACCTTCTGGATTTAGCGCCAGTGCGGCGACGCCGACGAACCGTGCTTTTCTGATGACAAGAGGACATTCCAGCACAGGATATTCGACCGCTAATCGACTTGACAGTCACATCGCGATGCGCCTTATCTGACTACCCACTCACACTCTATTAAGCTAGTTGCAGAGAGCGCTCGCAACAATATACCCAAGAAAAAATTAGTTCTCGTGGTTTACATGCTACTATGGTGTTGTGTCGTGCTAGTGTGTGCGTAGCCTTGCATATGTAGACTCATCGATAAAACAAAGAATCGACGTAATGGCAGAGAGGTGCCGTCGCCCAGTCCAGCTGCATGCTGAGTAGCATCTATAGGTTGTTCCCGCTATCTTTCTCAACGACCTGGCATAGGAAAGATAGATATCTGCCATTCATCAGATGTTGAAAGAAATATATTTTGCCGATGACTGCCGCTCTAACATCTCTTTGGCTCCTCCGAGGCAGAGCCAATACGGCGGTATTCCCCACTGATACTGTAGCCTTGTTTCCCAAGTGAGAGGACCACAGTAGCGTATCCAGCATCAGCTGAGCCCAGGCTACAGCCATCACATCGCATATACGAGATGCAGGTTTTGCTTATCTCCAAGTACGCATGTCGCTACCCAATTCGTAAGCCAAGGGCTATGGAGCTACGGGGTGGCAAGACGCGTGCTTTTGCCGGACTGAAATCTGTGAAGTGTATAAATAGAGAGGTTTTCTAGTTTTCCTGTCAATTGCCCACCATCAGTCGCGAACACAGTGGAAAGAAGAGCACACTCGATATCAAAAACGTAAGTGCCAACCATCCCAGGAATTATCACTTGGCAATTGATCACAAGACTAGCTCAGAGAGAATTTCCGGAACCATGGTGGGAACAGTGATGCCAGTCCGTGAGATCACGGTCAACAACGATGATGGTACTTTGCAAAGCCCCCAGATGATCCAAGTCTGCTTGTACCCATTGCTGATATCTGTAAAGGCAGTGTCACGATATACGGGGAAACGAGGTTCCCCAACGACGACGATGACGTTGAGTCTCTCCAGAAGGGGAAGAAGCAAAAACTCGGATTTTCGAAACATTTCCAAGAGCCGCCCATTGTCGTTATGAGCGCTGCTACAAACTGCCACTACGAGCATCACGCTGGAGACGTCCATCTCCTCGCACATGTGCGCATCGAAGGCAATTTGCACCCGGGCATCAAGACTGATGGGTTTTTCATCATAACCCATGAGAGCCATGATGGCCAGATTTTGGTCAATTGGATTGCTACGGGATATTTGGAAGAGTAGCCAGAAGTACTGCGGACCAGAACCCAGACTGAGAAAGACAAATATCATTCTCACCATCATCACCATTTTCTACTGTGAACTACCGTCAATCATCACAAACGTGCATGCCGGTATGCGTACCTCGTTGCCTTGGCGTACAAGACTTTGCTTCACTATCTACTGGCCACACCTCGGTCTCTATGTGATTACCTGTCGAACGAGTGCGCTACAACAGGGGTCAAAACAAAGCCTATCAGCAAACACTGGATGAAGAACATCAGGCTTACCATCCGTGGGATTCTGCGCCGTATATCTGATCTTGACCGCGACTTGATGCGGCTGAGGCTTAAGAAGAGACTGCTTCTCCGGTGCCAGCTGCGGAGCAGAAGACGAAGACATTCTCAAGATAGAATAGTGTTGTTCTCGGTGTGCTAGGCGCTTGCGGAGGCCCCGACAACCTTTCGAGGCAGGCCTGCCCTCATCTACGCTTGGTGCAAGTGTCTGGCATGGTTGGATGTCGATGATGGCTGAGAAACACGTCCATGGTATTCTTAGGAAGTGGTCGCTTACTCTATAGTATCTTTGCCTTTTTTAATTCCCACGCGGCGCTCCAGCCCGACGAAAGCCTCAGAGCGTTCGAAAAAGGCAGAATGCGTCGCTCTCTGCTCTCTCAACCGAAAAAGACATTTAAGCTTCAACTTCAAAGTAATCGAGCCGTTTACCTCTCTCGTCGACACATCGTATCTCAAACTCAAGCCACGAAGATGCCGCGATTCCGTGGCAGATCTCACTGCACCTCAACGATCCGAAAGGCCATTAGAAGTCAGTGTTCTACAAGCACAAGGTGATCTCGTTTGTTCGAGGCCGTAGACTCCAGCACCGCAGATCCGGCTAAGTAGCGTTTGGCACTATGGTAATTTTACAGCAAGATGGTTGCACTTGACAAAACAGTCAAGTCAACGGGCCGATTAAAGCTGAACTACTTCATTCATCTTCTCAAGTTTGATTAGTTTTCGCATCTAGATGTACAACTGCGTACACAACTAAGCTCTCCATGATATTCTGTATATAATGTACATAATAAACGCTTAGTAATCAAGCACATGGCGTGGTGCCAGAGTGGTTAATGGGTGAGACTCGAATCCTCCTCGTCAGAGAAGCGTATAAGATATCTCATGACTTCGGTCGCGCAAGTTCGAATCTTGTCCACGTCGCATAATACCGATCTTTTTGCTCTTTTGCCAGATGATGCAGCGCTGTGGCTTTTTGTTGCATTCCGCACCAAGTGTCACCTGCCCAGGTTCCAGGGTGGGGGTGGGTATATAGGCCCACTCCACGACAATAGACATTGAGGCGAACTTTTGTCCTTTTTGTCTGTTCAACGCCTTCTTTTATGCAGCTCTTGAAACTAGGTCTCGTGTGTTAAGAAATGATTGCTTCTACTGTTTGCAGGTTCCCGAAGCGGGAAAACCTTGACAAACACTTGGACTTTGTGACGCTTTGTTGGAAAATGTGTGTGTAGAGAATTCCTCTCTTCATAAATCTTAACATTCTTTCAAGGCTGTGTCTCTTTCCTAAAGAAAAGCATCTCTACCGCTGTAAATCCCACAAAACTCCATCTACCCAGCACATCTAACGTCTCTCTCTCTCTCCCTCTCTACAGCCTCGCCGTGGGAGCAGCAGCAGCCGTCGTGTCGTCCTGGCTCCCGTACTCGGCAATAAACTCCTTGGAAAACGGATAATCGACATAGCCCTTGGCGACATCCTTCACCTTGCGCTGATCGATGTAGAAGCTGTTGCGGTCGTACGGGGCCCACTCGATGCCCTTCTTGACGCGGTACACGAGGTCAGGGGTGCTGATGAAGCGGCGGCCAAAAACAACGACAACGTCGTAGTCCTTGTACGTCTTCTCGACGGCCTCGACGGCGAGCTCGGGCGTGTAGCCGCCGGCGACGAGGACGGGGCGGTCGCGGCCCCAGGCGCGCAGGGCGAAGTCGAGGTTCTCGCCCGGCGGCGGCTTCTTGTCGAGGACGCCGTGGACGCGCGGCTCGACGAGGTGCAGGTAGGCGAGCCTGAGCGCCGAGAGCTCGCGGATGAGGTGCGTGAACTGCGGGACGGGGTCCTGCATGCGCATGCCCTGCACCGTGTTCCACGGCGAGAGGCGGATGCCGAGCCGGTCGGGCCCGATGGCGGCGGCGATGGCCTTGCAGACCTCGATGCCGAAGCGCGAGCGCTTCTCGATGCTGCCGCCCCAGGCGTCGGTGCGGCGGTTGCACGTGTCTTGGGTGAATTGGTCGACGAGGTAGCTGTGTTGGTTTCGCGTCAGCATATGCATATACGTCGACGTATACACCTCCTCGGCCCGCACCACCACCCCCAAGAACCCCCAACCCCCCGCAACCGAAACCACCAAGTGTAAAAAAAAAAGGAAAAAGAGAAAAAAACTCACCCATGCGCCCCATGCACCTCGACGCCATCAAACCCCGCCACCTCGACCGCGTTCCTCGCCGCCTCGGCAAAGTCGCCCACATAGCCCCAAATCTCCTCCTCCCCCATCTCCCTCGGCATCCCGTACCCCTCGCCCGCCGGCACCGCGCTCGCCGACGCCAAATGCCTCTCATAGTCGAACCCGGCGTCCCAATTCGGCGCCTCTTCCCCGCCCACCGGCCGCGCGACCCGGCCCAGCGCCCAGATCTGCACCCAGATCCTGCACCCCCTGGCGTGGACCGCGTCGGTGATTTCCTTCCACGCGGCGAGCTGCTCCGCCGTGTAGAGGCCGGGCACGTTGGCGTAGCCGGCGGCGCGGAGGGAGGGGTAGGTGGCCTCGGCGATGAGGAGGGTCCCCGGGACGCAGGCGCGCTGGGCGTAGTAGGCCGCGGCGTGGGGGGAGGGGACGTGCGAGAGGGAGGCGCGGAAGCGGGTGAGGGGGGCGAGGGCGATGCGGTGGGCGAGCGGGGAGGTGGAGCCGATGGTCGTGGGGGTGAAGAGCTTGGTGTGTTCGGTTGGGGTGGGGGGCGCCATGGTGGTGGTGGTGGGTACGGGGGTTTGTGGGTTGTGGTGGTGGTTTGTTTGTTGTTTTCTTCTTCTTCTTCTTCTTCTTCCTTGCTCTTTCTATTCTATCGTGGAAATCGGCCGCGAGGCGACGAGAGGTTGAAGGAAAATGGAGATGAAACCCCGGGTATCGTAGCAGTAGCGAAAGGTCGAGGACTGGAAAGCAAAAGTCCAAGGGAAGGTGCCACGCATCGCCTTTTTGACCTCGTTAACTCCGCCAACGCCGGCGCTGCACTCTCTCGCACGTAAAAGTCCATGCGGCGTTTCGTCCGAGGTCAGGCTGACTCTTCGTAATCAGGGCGTAGGAAAAGTGGGCCAAGCCAGACCCTGGGGAAAGTGCCGAGGTACGGACGTACAGTTCGGGATGGCTACCTACTTTTTGCCTCCAAAAAAAAAAGGGGGGGCGGCGTTTGCAATCATCGCGTGCTATTGCTAAGCAAGCGCCGGATGTGTTGCAGATGTGGGAAAGACATCCGCGCGCAGTTCTCGCTTGTGATTGGTCAGACTGCTTAGATTTCGGCCTTTTCATCCCTCGGCTTTCTGAGGAACGCCCAATTAGCAACAGTGCTTTTTAACTTTGTATGTTAGCCGAAAGGAGAGTCATGGATGGAGAGGTCTACCTCTTGAATCTTGCATAGGTGCCGCTGGTCCTACAATCACTCGTCAGTGCGACATGCAGCTACTTGGACGAACAAGAGCATAATTTCATCTATCCAGAAACATTAATTCTTTCACCTACAAGCTTATTAGATCCTGTTCGAGCCTGACTGCTGCCGTCTACATGGCATGTCTCCCAACCCCTCGAGCACTTACACGTCTCTAACCACACTCTTACCATTTACAGTCTCGACAACATTACATTCATCATTACGCTGCCACATCATTATCACATATACTCGACTCGACTTTTCCCCAAAAACTCCTCCTCCCTCTTTACTCCAACTCAAACGACAGCACAAGGTTCGGCGTGCCCTCAAAGCCCTCGGGCATCGTATACGTAAAGTTCCAGAACGCAAAGTCACTGCACCACACATCAAATTAGCCAGCGAACCAAACAATCGACAAACCTCACAATAAAGCCAGGGAAGAAGGGAAGGGGGAAAAAAAAAAAGGAAGAACAGGCAAGACAAGCTTCCGCAGCGCACCGCCAAACACCAACCACGTCTCAAAGAACCGCAAAAAGCAAAAAAAAGCAAAAAAAAAAAGCAGAAAAAGCAAAAAAGAAAAAGCAAAAGAAACACTCACTTCACCGTCCCGCCCGCCCCGCCATACGGGCCGTAATACGCGACCGCACACGTCGCATTCACATTCCCCCCAATGACGCTGACCCGCACGCCCTTGACGTCCTCCCACCCAGCGACGTCGGGCACGCCCTTGGCGGGGGACACCATGAAGCTGAAAATCGAACTCGCGTCGCCGCGCGGGTAGGTCAGGTTCAGGATGCCTGGCGCGCGGACGTCGGCGAGCAGGGCGGGCTCGGTGGCGTACCATTTCAGCCAGCCGATTTCGGGGGCGGTAGTAGCAGCAGAAGAAGAAGTGTTGGACGACGAATGGTTGGAAGATGACGAGGACGAGGAAGACGAGGATGACGCATCCCACTGCACGACGGCGGGGCTCCAGGTGTCGGGGTTGAGGGCGGGGCCGCCGACGGCGGCTTCGTCGAAGGTGGAGGCGCCGAGGGTGATGCGGTCGGCGAGCCAGGCGGTGATGTTGCGGGGGTGGGCGTCGTAAGGGGGGGAGAAGGCGCTGGTGCGGACGAGGTGGGGGCCGGGGAAGTGCGTGAGTCGCTGGACGGCGGCGGCGGGGACGAGGGCGTTGTGCGAGGGGGCCATGAGGGCGAGGAGCGGGGCGTAGGCGTAGTCGGCGCTGTGGCCCATGGCGTAGGGCGGGGCGGAGGGCAAGAGGGGGCTGGCGGCGCGGCCGACGAGGTTCCAGATGTGCAGGGCGAGGATGGAGAGGTAGCGCGTCATGTCGTAGCCGTAGGTGCGGTCCCAGGGGCCGGCGCTGTTCCTGAGCCGGGCGTGGTAGAGGGAGGTGACGCTGGACCAGGTGGCGCGGAGCATGCGGGGCCCTTGGGCGCCCATGACGGACGAGTTGGAGGGCATGTAGCGGGCCCAGAGGGAGAGGGCGTAGAGGGAGACGCCGGCGTAGGTGCCGCTGTTGAATTCGGAGAGGGTGTCGGCGCGGTCGAAGAGGTCGACGACGTCCTGGGCGTAGGATTCGCCGGCGGCGGTCATGTTGGCGTCGTTGAGGCGGCGGCCGGTCCAGCCGCTGACGAAGGCGCGCATGATGGAGGGGTTGCTGTAGGCCGGGTAGAGGTTGTCGCCGTCGACGCCGCCGACGCGGTAGCTGTCGCCGATGGTGTTGTTGCGGAGGGACTCGAGCATGAGGGCCGTCACTTCGGGGGTGATGAGGTGCGGGAAGTCCTCCAGGCCTTGGATGAAGGCGGTGCCGATGAAGCCGCGCCAGTTGGGGTCCCAGCTGTTGTAGATGTCGGCCGGGTAGGCGGCGGTGCCGACGGTGGGCTCCTCGGGCGACTTTTGGTACGTGCCGTACCTGGTGCGTGTCAATTCCTTTAGTGGTCGAGAGGGAGGAAATAAAGGATGAAATCTTACCATTGGTCTTGCGGGTTCTTGAACTGGCCGGCGATGACGTTCTTGATGATGTGCATGGCCTCGTCGACATCACTGCCGCTGTTCCTCGCCAGCAGGCCGATGGCGTACCAGGCCGAGGCGCGGGTCTCGTGGTTCAGCGACGTCTGGGTGCCCTGGGACACGTCGTACAGGTAGTGGGCGTCGGGGTCGTACAGCGTGTCCAGCCAGGACATGGACTGGTTGAACATGTCCTGAGCGCCGGCCGGGAGGGTCGAAACGAACGAGGCGACACATGGCTGGGCGCCGAGCAGCAGGAGCGAGAGAAGGCCTCGTCGGCCGAAGATTGCAGCCATTATCATCGTCTTCCTCCGGAGCTGGAGCGAAACAGAAAGACAGAAACAAAAAAGCGACAGTGAGGCCAAGTATTTATATTGGCATTAAATCTCCGGGGCCAAGTCAATCGCAGCGGGTGCCTGCCAAGCAGGGCCACGCTGGGGATTGGCAAATGCGGGGGAGCCTATCAGAGGGCGCGCCTCGGCCATCTCGGGCATGTCGGTCTTCACCGCCACTGACGAGGGTAGCGTTGTGGCGTTGATAAGAGCAGCGGTCGGCAAAACGAAGGCGGCCGAGCGACATCGGCGCGCTGCTTCGGGTGCGCCGGGTAGCAGAGCAGTGCGCGTCGTCTCGGTTGAAATTACAGTGCAAACAAAGGGTATCCAAATCTCCAAATATCCAAACCTCCAAATCCAAACCTCCAAATCTCCAAATGCCCTCCCTCACTCACTCCTCCCCCGCCTTGCCAACAGCAACCTTGCCCCTCAACGCCGCCTCGGCCGCCTCCCGCTTGGCCGCATCCTCCTCCCGGGCCCGCTCCATCATCTCGGTGAAGGTGGCGCCGGCGACGAACCACCAGGTGAGGGCGATGACGGCGATGCCGCCCACACAGACGCACGTGTAATTCATGTTCTCGGCGCTCACGGGCTGGACGTACGGGAAGCTGAAGAAGACGATGGCAAAGCACAGCCAGCCGACGGCGACGGCGTTGACCACCAGCCCCTTCCACGCGCCCATGTGGAACTTGCCGCGGACGAGCACGCGGCGGCGCTGGGCGAGGTTCGTCGCGAGCGGGACGAGGTAGGCGATGTTGTTGATGGTGACGGCGGAGCCGAGCATGGCGTTGAAGGCGGTCGAGCTGCCGAGATAGAGGCAGCCGAGGGCGGCGCAGCACGCCGTGACGAGCAGCTGGGCGTTGAAGGGCACGGCGAAGCGGGCGCTGACGCGGGCGAGATGGCGCGACCACGGCAGGCCGCCGTCGCGCGCAAAGGCCCACACGACGCGCGAGGTGCTGAGCTGCGAGCCGACCATGCACGGGCCGAGGGCGATCCAGAGCAGGAAGACGAGGGCGAAGGCGGCGCCGGTGGACGACGTGGCCTGGCGGAAGAGCTCGGCGAGGGGGAGCCCGGTCGAGGTGGCGGCCAGGGCGGCGTAGTCCTGCACGGAGAACATGAGGGCGACGAGGTAGGTGAGGCCGGTGACGAGGGCGATGGCGAGGGTGATGAGCAGGGCGAGCGGGGCGTTGCGCGACGGGTCGGGCATCTCCTCGGTGATGTGCGTGATGCCGTCGAGCCCGCCGAGCGAGTACAGCGGGTTGACGAGGCCGGTGATGAAGCAGATGGCCGGGTTGTGCCAGCCCGTGTTGTTGATCCACGTGCGGAAGACGAAGGTGGCGCTGTTGTGTCGCGGCGCGCACGCCGCCACCGTCACCATCAGCACGAACCAGGCGAGCTGGAGGTAGAAGAGGGAGAAGCGGTTGAGCGCGGGGATGATGCGGTTGCCGAACAGCACGATGCTGGCCGTGGCGAGGTTGGTGACCTGGTAGACGACGAACGTCATCCACGCCTTGATGACGAGCTCGGTGCGGTACAGGGCGATGAGGGCCATGAAGTTCTGGGCGTAGACCAGGTTGGTCGAGGCCGTGGTGAAGATCCAGCCGCAGCAGCTCCACCACCCCGTGATGAACGAGAGGAAGCCGCTGTGCCGGCGCGGCGCGATGGCCGCCACCCAGTGGTACATGCCGCCCTCGGTGGGATACGCCGACACGAACTCGGCCAGCGACGCGCCCAGGAAGCACTGCAGAATCCACACCAGGATGAACCCGTAGATGACCGCCCCGGGCCCGCCCGCGTTGATCTCGGTGATCAGCCTTGCGATCCGTCAGCACTCGCCCGTCTATTACTTTCCCTCGATCCCGGCCCCGCTTACCCAAGACCCAAGCCGGTCCAAGAAATGGTCGTCGTCGAGGCCAAGCCGATCAAGCTCCAAACCGTAAAGTGCCGCTTGAGCTCCTGCTCGTGGCCCCTGCGACAGGTCAGCAAAGAACAAAAAGAGACGAGAGCCGCGTCTCACATCTGCTGCAGGCGCAGTTGGTCGGCATCGTGCGCTTCCACCGACACCGTCTTGGCCGCAGCCGCTTCCTTGGTGGACTCGACCATGGCGGTCATACGGGTACGGGCGTGGACAAGGAGATGGAGAAGGGGCGAGGAGGCGGACGACACTCTACGAGAAGTGAAGGGCAGGGAGCGGCCGTGTTTTGTCTTTTTTGTGGTTCGGGGCGCATTTCCGTCTGACAAGGGTCCGCGCCGCAGCGAACATGTTACCTATCGTCCGTTCGCCTCGCCGCAAAACCCCTCTTCGCTTGAGACGGACGCGCCACTTTGGTTGCAAGAGGGCCCTGGCGGAGGCGATCCGCGAAAAGCGGACCTCCGAGATAAGACAGGACAAGAGTTGCATTTGCGGGGGTCGCGTACCGACGATATCAGGGGACCGTTTCCCATGCCCGGCAAACCCCGGTTATCTCATCGCCGGATTTGCCGGTCTTTTGCACATGAACGGCATCGCCCTTTCCAACAACCTTGGCCGGGAGAGCTTCTATCGCGAACAACGACGTCTCGGGACAGCGAGCCTCGACCCGGATCCGTGGCGCTGGAATCCGTGCCCCTCGGACTGTCGCCACCCATCTTCATTGTCAACCTACCGGCTCGCTCTCCACTTCCGCCAAGACAGGACGTCTCGAATAGATGCCAGAGCAAAACAGATTGAAAAATGATATAGTGACAGAACCACCTTGGCGGCATCAAGCCCAGCCAGCCTCAATGGTAGAACAGAATTCATCAAGAAAAGACGATAAAGAAGAAACTTCTCCCAAACAGCTTGATTCGACACCGACTCTTTTCCCCTCCCCCCGTCATTTCACCTATGCCGTATCACCCGAGCACCAAGCACCTCACCGGCTACAAGCCACTACACACTGCACAAAAAAGGCAAATAGATAGCTACAACAATACAATCATGCAGACAAAAAGAACAAAAAATGAAGCACTAACTTTTTCCATCTCCCCTCCATCCACGCCTGACGTCCAACGTCCAACGTCCAACTAACCCCCCGCCGTATCCACCACCTCCGCAAACCACTGCCTCAACGCCGTCGCCAGCACGCCGGGCAACTCACGCACATCCCTAACGACCACGTACCACCTAAACGGGAACGAGTCCATGTACCTCCTCTTGACGACCTTGCCGTCGACGAAACTGACGTCCAGCAGATCCAAAACGCTATTCCGCTTGTTGTCATCAGCGGCGACACCACCAGCACCATCAGTCCCACCACTAGCCCCAGCTCCCGCAGCAGCAGCACCAGCCCCCGCAGCCCCCCCATCCACGACCACAAAAACGATCATGATGCGCTCCTCCTGCGCCTTCCTCACCAACCGCGCCACCTCCGCATGGCCGTCGCACACGCCGTCCGAAATGACAACAGCGAGCTGCCACAACTCCTTCGCGGCCGCGCTCTGCCTTCGGGCGCGAGCCTCCGCAAAGACTTCAATCACGCGCTCGACGAGCGCGCGCACGTCCGTTCGGTCCTGCGCGAAGCCGAAGCGGCGGAAGACGTCGACGCCGGACTCGGCGCCGGCGCCGGCGAAGGGCGGGGCGTCGAACGGGTGGGCGACGACGACGTCGCTGCCGAAGCGCAGGACGCTGACGTCGCCGGCCTCGAGGGTGGCGAGGGCCTTGGACACGAGGGCGAGGGCGTCGAAGGCGAGGGCGCTGACGCGCGGGTCGGCCATGGACTTGGAGTCGTCGAGGCAGAGGGCGATCTGGTAGGCGCGCTTGGAGGGCAGCGAGCGGCGCAGCCAGATCTTGTCGCGCTTGTACTGCGACGCGATGTAGGGGATGATGGCCTTCATGTTGAGGCGCTTGCCCGTGCGGTGGCCGCCGCGCATCTTGGTCGCGAGCGTGGGCGCGAGGATGAGCCGGAGCTGCTCGGTGAGGCCTTGGGCGAGCGCGCGGGTCGCGGCTTCGTGGTGGTGCCAGAGGGCGCGGGCTGAGTCGAGGGAGCGGGGGAATGAGTCGTCGTCGTCGGTGATGGCCGCCGATGAGAGTTGGCGGTCGACTTCGTCGACGTCCGAGTCCGAGTCGGAGAGGTCGGGGGGTTGGAGCGAGTCTTCGCGCGCGTGGGAGCCCGGTTCGCCGATGAAGGCGTTGGGCTGGCCGCTGGTGTCCTGGTCTTGGTCTTGGTCTTGGGCGGGTGCGTCGCGCTGGTCGGGGTCCACGTCTTCCATCGGCACGTCCTCCAGCTGCTCCCTGTTGTCGTCCTCCGCCTCGGCCGGGAGGTTTTCAGGGAGCTCGGCCTTGTCGTTGACATCCTGCGCCATTTCCCTGTCGAGCGCGCGCGCCTGGTCTTCCTCGGCAGCGCCCAGCGCCTGCGTGTCGGCCTCGGCTTCGTCGTCCTGCAGGTGCTCAAAGTCCGCGTCCGCCATGTCGACGTCCTTGTCCTGTTGCTGCTGTTGCTGCTGTTCGTCTTGCTTCTCGGACGCGTTCTGGATCTGCCGCTGCTGGTTGTACCACTTCTCGAGCATGTCGCCTAGCTTCTTGAACGGCTGGCTCTCGGCAGACTGCTCCTGCATCTCCTCGTCCCGGCCGACGGCATCTTGCTGCGATGCCTTGCCGCGAGCGCCCTGCTCCTTCGTGTCTTGCTGCTGCTCCTCGGGCGCCTCGCCCTCGGCGCCATCCTCGCGCCGAGCGCCGCTGGCTTGGTCCTTGTCGTCGTTGTTCTTGTCTTCGTGCGCGTCCATGCCCAAACCAGTCTCGGCAGCATCGTCGTTGTCCGCCTTGTCGTCCTGGGCGTTGTTGTCATCGGCGCCCTTGAGCTCGCCCTCATCGACCTGCTCCTGCTGCTCCCGCTCCTCGGGGTCGGCCGCCTGATCTTCCTTCTCATCATCCGCCATCTCATCCACCTCTTCTGGCTTCTGATCGAGATCGACGGGCGCCTCTTCCTCCGCATCCCCCTCGCCGTCCTCGGGCGGCGCCGTCTCATCCTCATCCATCGCATCGCCCAAGTCGTCTTCCATATCGCCGAGGTCCTCTTCCTCTCCCTGCGACTTCTGATCGTCCTCCATGTTCAGATCGTCGGGCAGATCCAGCGTCTCGCCCTCCTGCATGTGCGGGTCGACCGGCTCCTGCTCGTCAGGCCCACCAATCTTCTCTTCCTCCTGCGCACCCTCCTCCGGATCGTTCTCGTCCTCCTCCTCACCCATCTCACCCTCCTTCTCCTCCTTCTGTTGCTGCTGCTGCTCCTGCTTCTGCTCATCGTCCTTCGCCCCCGCCAACTCATCCTCATCCCTACTCCCAAACTCGTCCTTCCCCTCTCTATCCTTGTCCTGCTCGTCCTCGCCCCCGCCATCATCCCACATCTTCTCATCCACCGCGCTCGGCCCCAAATCGTCCACCTCCCCCGCCTCTTCATCCATCTCATCCTCGCTCTCTTCGTTCCCACTATCCTCCTCCCCGCCCTCATCCTCACTCCGCTGCTCCCCAAGCTGCCCCTCCATCTCCTCCTCCCCCATATCCACCGCCCCCTCCTCATCCTCCTTCTCCTCCTTATCCTTTTCCTCATCGTTCTGCTCCCTCGCCAACTCCGTCAAGTCCTCATCCTCACCAACATCCTTGCTGATATCCTCCGCGCCCTCGCCCTCGCCCAGCCCCGTCCCGCCCTCGAGCTTGTCGTCATCGTCTCCTTTCCCGCCTTCCTCGCCATCCTTCTCCGACGGCGTGCAGAACCCGCGGGCGCCGACGACCAGGAAAGCCTTGGCGAGGCGGTACGCGAGGCGCGCCTGCGCGGCGTGGCACGCGGCGAAGCGCGCGCGCGCCCCCGCGACCGCGGCGCGGTATTGCGACACGAGGGGCGCGAGGGAGGCGAGGAGGGCGCATGCGGCGTGTAAGGCGTTGTTGTTGCTGTCGTCTGGCTGCCCCGCTGCTGCGGATGATGGCAGGTTGCGGAGGGGGTTGAGGACGCTGCCGTGCAGGGCGGATGTGACGCGCGGCGCGTGCAGGGCCTTGCAGGCGGCGGCGAGGGCGGCTGTCTCGGCGGCGAGCCAGGAGGGGGATGAAGGCGGCGAGAGGGGCGATTCTTCGTCTGGCGTGGTGTCGAAGGTGGGTAGGGCGGCGTGGGTCTTTTCGACGTCTTGGATGGAGCCGAGGATGGCGTCGAGGGTGGAGAAGAGGTTGGTGGTGAGGTCGGCGATGGAGAAGGTGGCGACGGCGGTGGTGGTGGTGTCTTGACGGGCGTTTTCGGTGATGGTGGCGCCGTTGGCATCGGTGTTGGTGAGATGCAGCCAAGGGAGTAGTTGCTTGAGAGTGGCCTCCAGAGCGGGATGCTGCTCGCGCCACCTGGCGATGTCCTGCTTGAGTTGTTCGACGATGCCGTTGACACGGCTCGCCAGCTGCTCGTGAGCGGCGGAAGAGAGACCCTTCGGCAGGGCCGGAAGCCCATCGATGTCCTTGACCAGTCCCTCGAGCAGCTGTGCTCTCGACAGCAGGCCTTCCACGACGTCGGTGAAGCTCAGCTTTCCCAACCTTGCCTGCGCGTTGACGACGTGCGCCGCGACCCTCAGCATGGGCGAGATCCACGGCAAGCCGCCATGGCGCTCCGACACATCGCCGGGCATGACGTCCGCGGCCGACGACGACGCCGACGCCAGAGCCTTGACCTGCTCCACGGCGCGCTCCAGCGCCTCCTCTTCCTCCAGCACCTTCGCGACCACCTCCCGCTGCTTGAGCGTGGCATGCAGCATGCTCTCGAAGCTGCCGATGCACCTCGCGACATCCGCATTCGTCAGGTCGCCCGAATGCTCCCTCGCCACGTCGCGTACCTGCTGCATGAGGTTGAACGTCTTGTGCAGATACTCCTCCGCTCCCCTCGCCACCACGCCGTTATCAGTGTCAAGGTTGGACGACGACAACGGCGGCAGCGTGGGCAGGCGCGTCAGCACCTTGGCCAAGCCGTCCTGCTTCTCCAGCACATCGCCGCCGACGTGGCTGCGGAAGCCCATCTCGCGCAGCTCCTTGAGCGTGTCGGCGAACAGCTTGCGCTTGCGTGACTTGAGGTGCTTGACCTCGTTCTTGTTGTCGGCCGTCAGCGTTGCCGGCGTCGCCTTTTGCAGCTCCGCGATCGAGCCCTCGAGGCTGGCCAGGAAGTCTTGGATGTAGACGGCGCCGCTGTTGGTTGAGGCTCCGCCGCCGCCACCGCCGCCGCCGTTCTTACGGGCTGCTGGCTGGGACATCCTATGCATGAGCCGGACAGTGGTGGAGAGGTCCCTGAATCTGGAGGGCCGGGTCGACCAGCCAGGCACGTACTGTTCGCAAGCCAGCAGCCCAGCCGCATCAACCGTCGCATCGACCGGTTTCGCCGCGATCAAAGCGACCGCAAGGGTGGACTTCGCCGGCTCGGGGAGGTCCTGCCTCAGCACGGCGTCGACGGGCTTGTTGAGGATGTCGCGGAACTTGCGCACGACGCGGAAGAGCTTCTTGTGCGACTTCTTCGCGCTCTGCCGCAGGGCGTCGATGTTGCGGTCCTTCCAGCTGGCGACCTTGAGCACGCTCTTCATGTCCTTCTCCAGCGTGGCGCGGCCTTTGGTGATGACCTCGCGCACCGGCTGGGCGAAGCGCGCGAAGTAGCGGATGAAGTTGTCGAGAGAGGTGCGGACGGGTCTGACCGACGGCTCGTCCACTTCTCTCAGCGCTAGCTGCTCTCTGAACTGCTCAAGCAGCCTGATGCGTTCGTGGTATTGACCGGCCGTCGTAGACAAGGCGAACTGCTCTAGGATCCCGAGAAGCTCCTGGGCGTGGTCCTCCATGGCGGCTCCGGAGCCGAGCGATTCAGTCGCCGCGATGACGGTCTGGTAGGCAACGAAGAACCAGGCCTTCGCGTCATCCTTCGCCTTCTCGACCTCAATGTCAAAGAGGCGCGCCCACGTCGTGAGCTCGAGCTGACGCCAGCTAACAAGCAGGTTTGTGACGTCATCATACAACAGCGCCGCGCTATACTCCCTGCTCGCAACCTGCTGCCACTGGTAGATGAAAGCGTGGAGCTTTTCTCCCTTGGTGAGGAACTTGGCGACGGGCTCGACGTGGCGGAAAGCGAGCAGTTCGTCGGATTCCCGAAGAACATCAGCCAAGGTAGCATGCTCAGGCCAGACTTCTTGGATCTGGCGGAAACGCTTCTGCACGCGGTGGACAAGAGTAACGAGCTTCTTCGCCTCGCCGACGTTGGCGTCGGTATAGAAGTTGTAGTAACGAGGTGACGGGCTTTCCTGGAGGAGATGCTCGCTCTGCTTATCGAGGGCCAGGAAGACTGCCGGAAGCGACGCTTCAAGGCCGTCCCGGCCGTTACTGTCAATCTTGCTGACAAATTCCGTAGACTGCTCGATCAAAGCTTTGATCCTCTCCGTGGGATTTTGGCGATTGACGAATATGTCGGCGTGGCAAACTGCCAGTCTTCGCGCCAATTCTTGCGGCGACTCAAGCGGTGCAGCGGGGCCCTTCTCAGCATTGTCATCCTGCTGGTCGAAATCGGGGAACAGGCTCTGCAGTTCTGCCTCGGTGGCCTCCTCTTCGACGTCCAGACTGCCCTTGAACCGGTAAAGGCCAGACTGCTCCGCAGCCTTTTCTTGGTCGGCCTCGAGCTTCTCCTTCCACTGCTCGTAGAAACTGCGGAAGATGTCGTGTATCAGGTTCCGGTCGTTGATCGAAGGCGTCTTCTGCGGCTGGACGCTCAACTTGACCGCAAGAGCGCTTAGGGCGTGCCAGCGGAGATCCACGGGGTTGGTCTTCCCGAAGGCAACAGCGTGAGGCGCAGGCACCAATGCACCGGCGTTGCCTCCAAAGAACGGTGTATGCGCCGAAACGTAGTCAAAGACCTCAACGCCAGAGTCGGCGCCATCGCTGCCGGCAGCAAGGATGACTCCGACCCTCAGGCAGTGCAAGAACGTAATGACCGGCGCGGTGATATCGTCATAGCCGCGGTATCCTTCAGACAGCCTCTTGACAATCTGCTGGATGTTCATCTCCAGCGTCGCATCACGCAGCGCGCCCGTCTCACCTGCGTCGACTGCCCTCACCAAGCCATCCAAAACCCTCAACAAATTACCGAATTCGCCCGACAGTTGCGCGAGCTCCGACTGGGGCGGTCTCGCAATTGCCGGAACTGACGGTTCAGTGCCCATTGCCGCGATGTCCTGCTCGATGAGTTGTGTGCGCAAGTTGTCAGCGCGGCCAGTAAACGCCTTTTCGAAGTGGCGGAGCGCAACGAGGCTGGCGGTAAGCCCGTCGCGGTGGGTGCCGAAGAGGTTGCGCTCGACTAACGGGCGGAGGGCGGGATCGAAAGGCCTGTCGGGAACGTAGAGCCAGAGGAAGGCGATGGCGAGGCTGATCCAAGCTTGACCAGCATTGACACTGCTCGCTTCTGGGGGGGCGGCATACTCAAGACTACGCTGAAGGAGCTTGAGACCAGTGCGGAAGTAGTGATCATCCGGCAGATCATCTCGTAAGACGATAGCGTTGGCTGTCATCTTTTCGTGGTCCAAGAGTCCCGAGTGTGCATGAACAAGCTCGTTGAGAATACGCTGATGCAATCCGGCAAGAAGCGACGTCTGGTCTTGCAGGAGATCACCAGAACGATCAACAAGAGACTGACCAAGGACGTCGATCTCAGACCTCAGCAGATCCATCTGCGCCAAATTCGCGCCTTCGAGATCGACCACGTCCTTCAACAACTTGACATGGTATCCACCCCTCAGCGCAACGGGCCCAACATCTCCGTACGCTCCAAGGTACGTCGACATCCTGCCGAGCAGCGCCTCGCCAAAGCTCTGAGCCGCCAACGGCGTGGCCCTCGTCGGTCTCTGCGCCAAGAGCGTCAGAGTGGGCGTGGTGGAATAATCCTTCGACTCTCCCACGAGCTGCGCCACATCAGAGAACTGGCAGATGCCCTCGAAAGCCTCTGCGAACCACGGCCTGACCATCTCCTTTCCCTCTCTGACTCCCTTCTCCACATCGTCGATGGCCACTTCCAGCTCGCCAATCAGCTCGCCGACTTCAACATTCTGGGTGCGTGCAATCTGCATCGCGCCAGCCAGAGTTGACCGCACACGGGCCAAATCGGCCAGCGGCGCATCGGTAAGCCAAACGGAGGCGTCCAAGCGGTCCGCCAAAGCCTCAAGCTGGAGCAGTTTGAGGAGGCCATCGTACGTGGATGGAGTATGAGGTTTGAACCGGTTCCAGAGCAGTTCCATGCTCAAGCCGGTCGATAGCTGACTTTCAAGTTTGAGAGAAGCGAGACTCTTTGCCAGTTTCTCCTGAAGTCCGGCCAACCTGGGTTCTTGGATGGAGAGCAGTTGCGAGAAGACCTGGTGTCCGATGGCGAGGCAGACCTGGAACACGGCGTCCTCGACGACCATGGCATTCGTGAGGTTGGAAAGATCGAACCAGAATTGGCGGATGGGTTTGATCGAGCTGAGCACTAGCTCATCGACGAAGCCATCCTGCAGGACCTCGAGCACCCACACCGCGAGCGTGTCGGACACGGACTGCAAGAACGGGCCCACACCCACGAACGGGTCTTTGCTCGACTTGGACGCAGCCTTTGACGGCACCAAACTCCTACCCAGCCTCGTACGATCCCTGATCTTGACTTTGCCGGCCTGGTAGGCAACCTGTTGGAGCAGAGTCTGCATCTTTTTGAGATCCCTACAGAGATCGAGCAATCCTCCGAGCATGTACGCATCGTTGGAAACGTGGCCGGAATGGGCAGCTCTGCTGAACAGGACGAGGGATTGGTTGTTCAAAGGATGAATTGTCTACATACGCGGATCTACAATCAGCATACCTATCCTTTTTCTTGTTAGGAGAAGCGAGGTCACTGACCTGCGCATGTTCGAAATATTGACCGAGCCCAAGATGAGTCGCGAAGCCGGAAATCAACTCCGATGCCCTAGAAAGCCACTCCGATGGAATTAGAGAGAAGAAGTCCACATTTGCTTCAAGAGATTCTTCTAGTCGAACGTCCATAGGCTGATTGAACAATTCGTGGAAAAGCTGTTCACAAAAGCTTGTAAGGCGAGTTGAATCTTCCACGGACAAATGGTCCAGCGAAGCAGCTACAAGGGAATCGGCGGATACGTGATCATACTGGGTACGAGCCAGCACGTCAACATGGCGGAACCTATACATGGCTGATTCAGAAGCGAACGCATTGAGGCGATCATCGCCGCCGGCATCTTCATCTGATGTAGGAAGCAAGAAAAGCTCAACGGCTCTGTTTCTCATGGCGCGGGAAAGCTCTCCATGACGCGCGTCCATCGTCATAAATATGCGGAAGTCGGGGTGCGGCCTGACAATTCGGGCCTCGCCATCAGCTGTCGAGTGTTCGTTAATGATCAAACGTCCCTTGGGCTCAAGCAGGCCATTGAGCCTGTCGAGGACGGAAGAGCTGCAGAGATTAGCATTATCTAGGACAAGCCACTTTCCTTGCTCCAAAGCTTGAACAAGAAGGCCATCGACCCACTGGAACCTCGCTTGGTCAACAACAATAGATTTCTCTGCGAGGGCTTTGGCTTCTGCAGTTAGTTCTATGACCACCTGACGGCGATCTTGTGTTTTAATCTGTGCCAGTACCTGATGAATGGTATCGAAGGAGATTTGGGAAAGGTCGACTGGAGAAGCAAGGCGGGCGAGACGGAGGAAAAGAGATGCAGTCTCAGTGGCTCCTTGGACCTGAACTTCAACGGCACACGAACGCGAAAATTGACGGAGCTCTTCGAGGAAGGAGAGCACCTGTCGGGAGGGATCGACCTGCTCATACCCACCGACAAGATCCATGGCATCGATATCAGCATTCATGGAAGACGTGACCAGCTCGGCGCCAACAGAGGAGGCGAGTTGCTTGATGAGGCTACTCTTTCCAGAGGCCGGCGGCCCGACAAGGATGACGGGCCACTTGAGCTGAACCGCGATCATCATCGATTCCATGACCGCAAGCTGAGACTTCCTCGGTTCATGTCTGGATGGAAGAGGCTGTAGAAAGGTTTCTCGTCGGAGTAGTCCAAGTCCTACCTGGATGTGATTTTTGCCCACGTTGTGGAAATAACTTCGCTCTTGGACGGTTGATTTGGTGGCTTTCTCGAACAAGGCGATAACGCATTTCCGATCATGTTCCGATCTGAAGCGCTGGGTAATGACGGTGTCGAGGAAATCACTCGTCGCACCATCTGGAAGTAGGCCATCCTGGGAAGTGAGTAGCTGCAACCATCGCAGTGTGTCTCTCAGATTGAACTCCCAGGGGCCGCCGAGCGCTCCAAACCTCCGGTTGGCCACTTGTGAATCCAGCTCCGAGATGAATCCCGTGAGAGTCTCGATGTCTCTCTCGGTAGTATTGGGGAAATTTTGCTTGCAAATAGTGATCAGATCCTCGAGTCTGAAAACGTCGGCATAAACCACGGTGAAACGGTTGACGAAGGAAGCTGGAAGACCCTTCCTACCACCTCCTTGATGGTGAGGGTTTTGCGCCGCAAACACTCTGAAGCCAGGGTTCTGATGGAAGGTCTGATCCAACTCAGAGATGTAGACTTCCCCACGGTGGTCGAGACAGGCGTTGAGACCTTCGAGTACAGACTGCGAAGCCAAGTTCATCTCATCAAGCAGAACCCACTCTCCATTCTTCATGGCCTTCAAGAAAGGCGCGTCTTTCCAAGCAAACGTGCCCGCCTGAGCTCCCTCTACGGGCACATCGGATCCGAACAAGTCCATGAGATCCGTTTGCTCAGACAGGTTGATACGAGTGAGAGGCACGCCAACGGCCTTGGAGATGGCAGTGACAAGAGTTGTCTTACCGACACCGGGGTTACCTTCCAGGAGAATCGGTTTCGGCAACTGCAGTGCGCGAAGCACTCTCATGGCATTGGACTTGGTGGTTGGCGCAGCCATGGAAAACGACGGATCCGAGACAGCCTTGCCGATGCGTGGAACGGCGAAGTCGCCAACGGACAACATCGAGTCGGAAGTGCCAATGGCTGCGGGAGCAAAGTAAATGGCCTTTGCGTCTGCATCTACGAGCTCGCTGAGCTTCTCGAGGCAGGCGGCGCGCTCACTGTCTATGTTGGTTGCGGAGATGGCAAGTAGTGCCGCGGGATTCGCTCCGAGCGTGTCGATGAAAACCATTGCTGCTCCATGGACGACTCCGAAAACTGGATCCGTAACACCGCAGCGGTTGATGAAATGGACCCACGCAAGTGTATCACGGATGGAGATCGATGATGCAGCAGACGTGTTGAACTTTTCGTTGAACCACTGCGAGAAGTTGACGATTGTGGGGGCATAGTCTACTGCCGATGGCATGAGCTTGGCCTTCACAATCTGGGTGATGTCTTCCAGATCAGATAAAGCGGGGACGTAGATCTCCGTGAAACGATTCCGCAGGGCCGGGGAAAGCTCCTTCTTGCCGTAGTCACCACCCGGATTCATCGTCGCCAGGAACTGGAAGCCATCTGAAGCGTTTACGTTGGAATCCGTCGGACCTTTTTCTGCGAGAAGAATAGTGCGAGACGACTCAAGCACACTGTTCAATCTTTCCAAGACCGAGTCATCAGCAAGCGAGATTTCGTCGAGCAGGAAGTACTGCCCCGTCTTCATTGCGGTCACGAGACTCCCGTCTGCCCATTCGAACAGAGATGAAAGCTTGACGCGTTGAGCGTGAACGTTCTGTCGAGACTCGCTGCTGACGCGCTCCGGTTGCTCCTTGACGAGCTTGTCGTAAAGAACCAACAAGTCGGCCAAGGAGGGAGCTGGAGTTTCGAATTCTGTTCCAGCCTCCACAAGAAGCTCACCAAGGTCCTTGGCAAGCTCTTGTTCCAGGAACGCGCGGTTGCGGATCGGTCTTTGAGCACCGATGAGATCTCCAGTCTCAGTGTTCTGGTGAGCATTGACAATGAAGAGCTGTTTCGCAAAAGCATCCGCGAGCATCTGACAGACCGTTGTCTTACCGCAGCCGGTTTCACCCACCAGCAAAACAGGTTCATTGTGGCGGAGGGCATTGGCCACCAGAGCGTACAGCCGGCGCATTGCGCGCGTCCAAACAACACCGTCGGAAGACACATTGTCCTGGTATAAGCGCATCTCTGGGGATCGTTCGGCGGAGTAAAGCACGTCCTCGTCGATCTTGGTTTGCTTGATGACCTTCTCGATGATTTGCTTGACAGCCAGACGCTCTTCCGCCTTGCGTACACGCTCAGCAAGAAGCATGTAGCCCTGCTCAGCCAGCTGCTGCGACGTCTCAGGTGCCCGCATCGCCCACCGGAAGAGATCACGCAGAGTGGCGAAACTCTTGGACTCGAAAAGACGACTGGATTGCCGGAGAATCGAAAGCTCTCTGTACACGCTGACGATGTGCTCACACCATGACCGGGGAAGCTGTGTTCGCCGTTCCAGGATGTACTTCAGTTCATTGACAGGTATGTCGTCGAAGTGCAGTTCGAGGAAACGGTTGCGGAAGGCGCGCGAAAGAGTCTTTCTTCCACCATAAAGACCAGCCGGGTTCTGCGTGGCGAACAGCATGAAATCCTCGTGAGGCCGAACTATCTCCTGGGTTTCAGGAATGAGAAGCTCCCTATTGTCGTCGAGCAAGCGGTTCAGGGCTTCCAAAACATCGGTCGGAGCAAGGTTCAGCTCGTCCAGAACAATCCAGTGGCCTTCACGCAGAGCTTTGACAAGGATGCCTTCCTGGAACTGGAGCTTGCCATCATTGCCAGAGACGTACGTACCCAAGTACTCCTGCAAATCGGTGTGTTCGTGGTTGTTGATACGCACAAACTTGTTGCCGGACCTCTTTGCAAGGTACTCAATCATACTCGTTTTGCCGGCAGAGGTGGGACCCTGAATGAGCACCGGGAACCGACGAGTAGAGGCGGCCCGAATAAGGTTCGTGAGGTTGCGCCAGACGAAGTTGGTAATGATGTAGTGCTCTTCCTCGGACGACTCAAATCTGCCCCGACGAAGCCACTGCGGGTCCTTGCCTGCTCCGTCGAGCCACTTTTCGAAGTTGGCATCATCCACCGATTTGCTGATACCCTTCTTTTTCAGGTCATGGTTTCTCCGACCATCATCCCGGCGGATCTGAACGTAATCCCGTTCTTTCTCGGCAGGTTTCTGGAGGGGCGAGCCGAGTTGAGGCTTGAGATATTTGACAACCGCCTCGGCAACAAGATCCTCAGAAGACTTGTCAAGGAACGTCAAAAAGCTCATGCAGAATCCTTCGTACAGAGCTCTCCGAAGCGAATGAAGTGGAGCCGTGTCCAAGGAGTAGACCAATGTCCGAGTGAGCGTACGCAAACTGAAGTGAGGCTTCTGGTTCGCGCCGTCTACCAATCTGTTCTCTGCATTCAAGGCTTGGATGTGCAGGTACAAATTGGCAACATCTGCGGAGATCTTCCGGTCCTTGTGCAGGTATTGGTCAAGATAGGTCTCCACCACGCTCTGCAGGCTCTTGAAGTCGCGGTCTGGGCTTTCGACGTACAGCTCCGTGAACCGGGAACGGATACCCATTGGAAGGTCCTTCTTTCCAACATCCGTCGCAGGATTCATGGCTGCGAAGACGCGGAAGTTGGGATGGGCTTCGATTCTTTCCACATTACCGGTCTCAGTCAGAAGAATGGAAGGCGTGCCTCCAGAACCGCCAGTGAGCAGATCAGCCAGCGCTTCGAGGGTGTCTGGCGCTGCCAAATTGATTTCGTCGAGGAGAACCCAATCACCGTTTCTGACGGCCTTGACGATGTTGCCCTCTACAAACTTGAAAGCGAAGGCACTCGACTTGTTGGCGATCTGGGACTCCACGAGCTTGAGGTCGTTGGCAAAAGCGTCCCATTCGGACTGCGAAAAGGAGGCAGGTAGCTTGGGTTGCTTTTCAACCTTGCGCTTTTTCTTCTTCGGCTGGTCATTTTCATCGGTTTGCGGTGCCGGGTCGGGTCGTGAAGCCTTGACTGCGTCGTCCACCATGCGGAGGGCCTTCTGCCAGAATTTGCAGACAGCCTTCCAGCGGCCCTTCGACATGTGCTCGTTCAGCTGGTTGAGAAAGAGGCGATTCTTGTCTTGGGAGAACGTGGACAGGAAGAGATCGTCGAAGCGGTCTTTCATTGGCACCATGATGCTACGGAGGTTGACAGGCTTGAAGCCACCTAGCAAGTCTCCACTTTCGCTTTGTTGCGACAAGTTGAACACCTCCATTCTCCGGCCAAGCTCGGTCGCAAGGTGCTGGATAGCGGTGGTCTTGCCGGTGCCGGTCTCACCGACCAGCAAAAGTGGTTCCCGGTGATTTACGGCAACCGAAATTCTCTCCAGCAGACGACGAGTATGATCGTTCGCAGCGAATGGCCTTCGGTCGGCGCGCCTCTTGCGTTGAGACCTCTTCACCGTAGTCCGGCCGATAGTGACTTGGGCGGCGTCGTCAGTCTTGTACGCGATTGTGCGCTGCAAAAGAAGATGGTCTCTCTTCTGTGGATCGACATGCAATTCTCGGGCGATGCACGCAACAATCAACTCCCGGACTTGGCCATTTTCCAGGCTTCCAGCAAGACAATCGACTGCTTCGAGAAACATATCGTCCAGGTTGTGAGGGTTAATGCGACTGCACCACTTGAATAAGTCGCGCGAGGTAACAGGCCGAATCATGCCAGACCTGCTGGCCGTGAATATCTTTTCTTTTGACAAAGCCTGGAGGCTGCCGTAGACGCTCATGATCTGGGGTACCAGAGCTTCCGGGATGTTGGAGAACGCGCGCTGGACAATCTCTCCCAGTTCTCCCTCGCGGGGCGTCTCAATGCTGATGCGCTCCCAAAAGCGTGTTCCGATCATTCCAGCACCTGGGACGATTTGCTCGCCGCGAAGGTTCAGAGTTGTCCGGAGCGTTGCGATGATCTTGAAGCCACGTGCGGCACGAACGACTTCACCTCTACTGGGAATGAGAAGCTCTCCAGATTCAATAAGAGGCAAAAGCGTGCTTATTACATCGTTCGGTGCACGGTCCAGATCCTCAATCAATACCCAGCGACCTTCCCTTACGGCGGTAGTGAGGACGCCAGGTCTCCAGGTGAACGTTCCGGGGGTGCTTCCGGTCGTGTACATGCCAATGAGGAGTTTGGCGTCACTCTGCTCATTGAGATGGAGCGTCACCATGGACTCAAGTTTGTTCAGTTCCCGCGCAAGATGGCGGATTATCAGTGTTTTGCCAGAACCAGCAAGGCCGGTCAACATGACAGGCTTGTCACCATTCAAGCTTCTCGCCACAGAAGTGAGGTTCCGCACGGTCGTTCCAGTCGGAATCAGCTGAACGCCGTCCGCGGTGGAAGGAGCGTTTGATCGGGGAAGCAAAACGCCATGGACTTCAGCGGTATGAGGGCCGAGGTCCCTCTGCGTGATTATTCTGCTAATCTGCGGAGACTGAAGGTACGCCTCGCGCGCCGAGCGCGCCTCCACAAGCTTTCTCTTCGCCTCCGCATACCGCTTCTCTTCCCACAGACTCAGGAACCGGTAGTCAATCATCTTGCCTTCCCAGATACCACTGACGGGTTTTTCACCGATGTATCTGGTCATCATTCCCTCCTGCGCCGCATCCGCGGCATGCAGATACAGACAAAGGCAGCGAATGGCTAGGTATCGGACGGGGCGCTTTGGGTGTGCCAGCAACGACTGAAGAGATAGCGGTTGGATGGACCGGCCGAAGGTCTCGTTGTCGCACACGAGAAGGCGGAATAGTCCGAGGAGAAGGTCGACCAAGCGTTCGTCCGCGGCTGCATCTGACGCCTGGGAGGCATCATACTGCAAAGCCGAGGCGATGTCGGCTGCTCCACGAGAGAGAACAGTCTCAGCAACGTCTGAGAGGTAGGGCGCAAGCTGTAATATGCGGGCATAGGCGGGTATGATGTCGACGGGCGGATACGAGGTGGCCCAAAGCGCGCGGACTTCGACGAACAACGGCTCGAAAAGGATGAGCAGGTAACCGGTGTGGCGCGGGTTCAGCGCCTCGCGGGCAAGGTCAGCAAGAAAGTCGCGATTGGAGCTCGGGCGGAGGAGGGAGCGCAGCTCCTCGGGGACCCCGTGGGGGCGCGCCTGAAGCGCAGAGATGCCCCAGCCGCATTCCATGGTCGCGCTCCGGGATCGTAACCAGGAATTGGGGAGAAGGGAAAAAGTTGGGCGGCGGCGACGGTCGATTTGGAGTCTTGGTTCGCGGGTAGCCAAAATAATTTCTTGAGAGGAAAGAGCGGGGCCCGTGCACCCTATACCGCGTTAGGCAGCGGCGAGCCTCGAGATTTTGACGGCCGCGGGAAACACGCACCACCACCGACTTCGACCCGCGTAGGTTACGGCGATTGCAACCTTTCCCACCCGCAACCTCCCCCACCAACACCACGCCATGTCGCTCTCGTGCCAGTCCGCGCTGCGCGTCTGCGCCCGCGCTGCCCGCGCCTCGCCCGCCCGCGCCTCCGTCTCCCGCCTGCAGCAAGCCCGGAGATGGCAGTCCACCGACGCCGCCGCAGCTCCCGTAAACCCGAAGATTGCCTCCATCGTCGACCAGATCAGCCAATTGACCCTGCTTGAGACCGCCGACCTCGTCTCCAACCTCAAGGTTAGTCGGATGGATGCCAATGCCGTCGCGCCCGTCGACGGAAGCACGCCGCGACAAATCCCATCCCGCTGACCTCGCTATTTTTGACAGACCCGCCTCAACATCCCCGACATGCCCGTCGGCGGCTTCGCCGCTGGGCCCGCCGCCGCGGCCGCCGCACCCGCGCCCGTCGAGGAGGAGGAGGCGGCGCCGGCCGCGCAGGAGAAGACGCTGTTCAACCTGAAGCTGCAGAGCATCGATACGGCCTCCAAGCCCAAGATCATCAAGGAGGTCAAGAGCATGCTGGGCCTGTCGCTGGTGGACAGCAAGAAGTTCGTCGAGAGCGCGCCCAAGATGATGAAGGAGTCGGTGCCCAAGGAGGAGGCCGAGAAGATCATCGAGACCATGAAGGGTCTTGGCGCCGTCGTTGTCATGGAGTAAAGCGGTTTGGGTCGGGGAGGGCGGACAGGCATGAAATGTATGGAAAGAGAAACATGGAAATGGAAAGCTTCTAGAGTCTAGATTCGGGCTCTATGTCCAACATGTGCTATGCGCGGACGGAAAAAAAAACCACGAAGCGAAAGGCATGGTCGAGGTGTTATTTTGGGACTGTATTTGTATAGATGGATTCCTATTTTGTAGTGTACAAATATGGTTTGCGTAAGGCGGGTATATCAACGCCGGGTCTGGAGGCCTCGCAACCTTCCAACACTTGAAAAAAATATAAACAAAGGTCCATCACCACTCTAACGCCGTCATGATGCAGCCCGATGCCTGTCGTTTTCTTCCCTCCGATCCAGAAACGCCCGACGTGACCAAAACTCAAAGCTCCCGATCAAACGCAATAGCCTGTCTCCGCTCCTCAGCATCTTCCTCAGCAGCGATATAGTCATCATCCCCAATGTCGCTACTCTCCTCCCACAGCTTCTCGAACTCCCCATTGTTTTCCGGATCCACCTGCCAAATGACCTCTCTCAACCTCTTGTGCCGCTCCCGATCCTCCTCAATCCGCTGCTCCACCTGCCGCTTGTCCAGCCGCACGGCGCCGTTCCCACGCGGCGTCTGCTTCCCGCTTCCGGGCGCGCCGCCGTTCGCCCCGGTCGGAGACCCCAGCGCCGGGTGGGCGACGGCGATGTTGTCGCGCTCCTTGAGGCAGTCTTCGAGCTCCTGGACCGTTTGCGGGAGGAGGACCTGCTTGTTTTGCAGGCCGGCCAGCACCTGTGGGAAACACGAAAACGCACACGTCAGCTCAGACCCCGAATCGCACGGCGTACGCATGACATTTCCCTGGGAGGCCGGTAGGCACATGGGCAGAGAGAGAGGCGGGGAGAGGGAGAGAGAAGGGGAGCTCAGCTTACCCTCCTCACGACCTTGACGTTGGCGGCGCCGGAGCCGTCCGGGGGCGCGACGGCGTCGATGACGCGCAGGATGTCGCGCTGCATCATGCGGACGAACTCGAGGTGGCTCTCGCGCTGGGCGACGTCGCACAGGTGCTCGATGAAGTACATGATGTTGGCGCGGTTGTTCATGTTATTCTAAGCTCCCACCCCCCAGGATTTATCATCAGCTTCCCTGCAATTCTCCACTGGGTCTCTCTTTTATTTTTTTTGTTCTCACCCGCTCCAGCTGCTCCAGTATGCACGAGTGCAGGTCCTCGTCCATGTCGCGGTACTTGAGGGCATAGTTGGCGGCTTTCTGGGCCGACGTGACCGAGGCGTTGAGGTGCTGCAGCTGGCTCGTGAAGCGCATGCGCACTTCGAACGGGTCCGCCATCGTGTCTGTGTGTGTGTGTGTGTGTGTGTGCGCGCGCGTCGAGGAGGCTGGCGCTGTTTTGCGCGCAGCAGCACACCGAGGGAAGGGTGATGGAGCTCGGTCGGTGGGGCGGGCGGGCGACACGCGTGTTGCTGGTTGACGCGCAACGAAGCTCTGATGCTCGCTCGTTGGCGGCTAGGCTAGTAGGTAGTTAGGCGGCGGCGATGATGGACGGGGCGCGAAGCTTGGCCTTGCACGCGCAACGCGGCGGGCGCGCGTCGGGTGCGGTTCAGGTGGCGGCCCTGCCTAGGCAGGTAGGTAGTTCCATGCCATTGATCAACGGTCAATTTCGATCCGCTGCTCGCACGGTAGGTCGTACGTGATCAACGAGCAACTCAATCCGAAAAGTCTGACAATCATTGGCAATCTCGAAAATCAATCTCATGATGTCTCACATGCATCGGTATGCTCTGGTCCACTTCTTCGATACTGGCAATTTGCTCGACCAATGTCGGATTCGTTCGATTACCGCCCTGCCTTTTTTCCCTCCTACAAGCTCTGGGTATCCTGATATCTAACCAAACAAAAGAGAATTGAAATCGTGAGCCTGATTACATTACACACTAGCATTTGCCAATGGTGGTGGTGGTTTGCGCGCAAAATCATTAGCACCCAGCCCAGCCCAGCAGCGATCAGTCGATCAGCTACCTAAGCGATGCTTCCATCCGAGCACACCTCCTCGTCCGCGTACGGGATGTGCCTGTAGTACATGACCTCGCCCGTCTCGCACCGGTACTCGAACCAGCCGTCGGTGGTGCGGCAGTAATTCCTGCCCGCCGTGTCGATGCCGCACGCGGCGATGCTGCCTAGCACCTCTTGCTGCTGCTGCTGCTTCTGCTCGTCCTCCTCCTCTTCCTCGACGTCGCCATCGGTGGTGCTCGCGGAACTCCTGCTGCTTGCGCTCTCGGTGCCGGCGTCTTCGGTGGCGTCGCTAGGGAAGTTTTTGGGGACCATGATGTGCTTGATTTCGGGCTCGGCGCCGCTGTCGTCTGTGATGTCGAAGACGGAGACGTCGTCCTCGATGTCGCGGTTTTGAGGGAGGGTTCTTGTGTTGGTAGAGCCAGTGACGGCGACTTCGGCACCGAGGAAGAGTTTTGTCTTGGGCGCGTAGGGTGCGCGCTGCTCGACTCCGTGGATGGATTGTGCGACGTCCAAGTTTGCGACGATGGGTGCGGCCTGAGAGATTGTGCTGCAGGAGATGGCGGAGAAGACCGCGATGTTGAATAATGAGGAGTACATGTTGTGTTTGCTGCTGTGTTGCAATTGACCGAGTGTTGGAAATTGGTTGGTAAATGGAAAGATGGAAGCCAGCGAGTGAGCGAAAAGCCAAGACGAAACGTAGCGATTGACTGGACGAAAGAGGGTGGTTTCGCACTGGAAGGAATCGGAAGGGTATGTACATATAAACATGCAATGAGGCTGGGGTTAGATTAAATATCGAATTTTTGATCCAGGCATGGGACTCTCCGCTGTGTCACCAACGAAGCACATCTCCGCAGCCACGTCTGGCGAGACACGGTCCATTCGAGGCCAGGGTTCTCTTTCCGCCTATAGCTCCGACGCGCGCGGTTAATGGTGAAGCGGCCCGTCCACGCACCTACCACCCGGTGTCGAGTGGGTCAAAAATAGACGGGTGCTATCCCAAAGGGGCGGCTGGGCAGCGAAAGAAGGAAATTCCAAGGGGCGCCTGAAGGCGCCAAACAGGCAAGTGATGGACGTACAGCAGCCGTGCTATAGCTGGCCGGCCGGTCTGGACTCGCCGGCAGCATCCGAACGAGAGGTCGACAGATGGAGGGACATTGAAGTACTGGCCGTCAGTTTTCTCAATCGTCTGACATTCCCGCCGCGTGCCGATGATGGATGCCAGGGGCCGCAAAGTTTATCGTTTGACATGGCCTGTTCGATGCTGAGGACAAACTCTCCACTTTGCGCGTTTGGGATTCTGCCATCCTGCTGGAGCCACAGGAGACCGGGAGAGGGGAGCTCAACCCGCCCGTCCAGCCTGGTCTCATTGGCCATGGAGGAGTGAGGCAAAGCAATGCGGCATTACCTACCTCGACGCTGCTGACACATGGCAGACCCGGTCAGGAGAAGCTTCCAGCCGCAACGGCGACGGGAAAGTCGACCCGGGCATCGTGAACGAATGAGGCTGCAGACAAGACGGATGACAACAATCAGGAACGCGACAAGGTGTGGCTGACACGTGCCTGTGGCTGCGGGCGGCTTGCGTCGGCCCCGCCAGCGCGTTTTCCGCTGCGAGATTCGGAGCTCCCCCACGCTCAAATCTGCCCCGCGCCCCAACCCACACACCTCCACGCGCCATTGCACCTCCAGAGATACCTAGACTCCTCGGAACGGGCACTCAGACAGCAACAATGGCCGACAACGGACTCACCCTCACCGTCCTGGGCTGCGGTATGTGAAAAAAAAAAACACGACGCCCAGAGCTTCCCGCTCCTCCTCCCCCGCACCGACCTGCACACCGTAAACTAACGATGCACAGGCGTCATGGGCAACGCCATCCTCGGCGGCATCATGGCCGCCCTCGCCGACACCTCTGGCGCCACCATCGCCGACGAGACCGTCCCGCCGCGGCTCCCGACCAAGTTCATCGCGTGCGACGCGTGGGAGGGGGCGCCGGCCGCGATCCGCAGCGTGCTGGGCAAGTACAACCAGCCGCTCGAGATCCTGGTCAACGACAACCTCACGGGGGCGCAGAAGGCAGACGTGCTGCTGCTGGCGTGCAAGCCGTACATGCTGCAGGAGGTGCTCGGGGCGGCGGGGATGCGCGAGGCGCTGGCGGGCAAGCTGATCATGTCGATCCTGGCGGGCGTGTCGGTGGAGCAGATCGAGGCGACGGTGTACCCGGGCGGCGTGCCCGGCGACGGCAGCGCCTGCCGCGTCGTGCGCGTCATGCCCAACACGGCGGCGCTGGTGCGGCAGAGCATGACGGTCGTGGCGCAGCCGACGCCGCCGCTGAGCGCCGACCAGACGGCGCTCGTGACGTGGTGCTTCAACCGGTGCGGCAAGGTCGTGCAGCTGCCCCCGCACCTGATGGACGCGTGCACCTCGCTGTGCGGGTCCGGCCCGGCGTTTGTCGCGCTGATCCTCGAGGGCCTGGCCGACGGCGCCGTCGCCATGGGCATCCCCCGCAAGGAGGCCCAGCTCATGTCGGCGCAGATGATGAAGGGCACGACGGGCCTGGTGCTCGAGGAGAACAGGCACCCGTCCATCCTCAAGGACATGGTGTCCACGCCCGGCGGCTGCACCATTGGCGGGCTGCTGACCCTCGAGGAGGGCGCCGTCAGGGGCAATGTTGCGCGTGCCGTCAGGGAGGCTACGGTTGTTGCGAGCCAGCTCGGTCAGGGCGTCAAGAACGTCAATGGCACTCGTCACTGAAGAGGCTTCTACGAGGACTCGGTCGCTACGGCGTTCAAAAGCGCGGTGGCTTTAAGGGTTGACTGTGAATGTTTATGAGCAATTACGATGCGTGTATCAGAGCAATGATCAAAGTTTGATGTCAAAATAGCTATACGGAGCAGATGAAAAGCAATCAGTCAACAATACAAAGTCCAGGGCTCAGCGAAGTACCACATGTGATGACTGCAACAATCTCGTGTGGCCCAAGCTTTAGGAACCAGAGGTAGAAACAAAAAGTGAAAGAAAATACGCAGCCGAAATTCCACACTTTCGACGGCCATGTGAATCGTCTTGTCATCCCTTATCTGCTTAGAACCCGCTCGGGTTGAGACATGATAATGATGTGCATGCAACGAGCACACTCACTAGGTGTCACAGCTACTCGTTCGTTTCCTTGGCGCTGCAACAGCTTCACAAACAGACTTGATGGAGTCGCATTCCATTGCGCTTGTCAACCCACTGTCTATACAGATCCTTCAACGTGGAGGGGTCCTGTCAAGACGCGGGATCCGTTCCACGCACTCTAGAACGATGTTTCAAAGTTCCGCTTCCGTCCTGAAATAATTTCTTCCGAAAGAAAGCACAAACTTCTCGAAATAATATTTAAACTTCTCAAAAACAAGATTGATGGTCATTTGATACCCCAGACTTTATACTTTATACTACCCGCAAGCCAACGACCATTCTTTTTTAGGCATCTAGATTTATAACAGAACCCATTTCTATGACGTGTCCCCCCAACAAAAGAAAGTCACGGGGAAACACATCGAGTTGGTCTATAAATATGGAACAAACTTTATCAAACCGTTCGAATTACGAAGCAAGTACGGGGTGTCTACAGGTGTATCTACAAGCTCCTTTTTCTCTTTTGTAATGTGAAATTACTCTCTCCATGGTGGTATATCCAACAATCTTTGCAGAAACAAACTTTTCTTAAACAGGGTTGGAAAAAAAAAAAAAACGGAGAAGTGAGTACAAAAGACCGTCTTCAGGTATCGCTCTTTTTCCGAGGTGAAGGTGTCCAAAATATTGCGCAGTTCTTTGAACTCGAAGGTTCCATTGAACGTATGCGAGAGAGAGAGCTGAGAGCTGTCGAAGGGGTCCAGAATGCTCTTTTCGATAAGAGCCATGGTGTTGTACCAAGCGAACAGTAGCGGTGAAGGTAGTTGGTGGGTGTGTGGATGGGTGGATCGCAGTTCGCCCTCAACGCAACGTTTGTCAAGCAAAAACAAGCCCATCGCAGCACACACCCGCCCACTCACCCACCCATCTACTCACCCACGCCCTCAATCACTCTCACTCTCACTCCCACTCTCACTCCCCCCCGTCTTCCCACCCCAACCACCCCCCCTCAACCAAACCGGCCTCCTCCCCCACGGCCTCCCCAAATCCGCACCACCACCATAATCATCCCCACCCCCATCCCCACCCCCACCATCCCCCCCGGCCCCACCCTCCTCCTCATCACTAAACGCATCCAACCCCCACTCCTCGTCCTCGCCCGCCGCGACGCGATACGCGTACGCGCCCTCGTCCCGCTCGTCGTCCGTCGCGACCTCGTCCTCGGGGTACTCGTTTGCGTAAAAATCCTCGGCGTTTTCGTCTTCGTCGTCCGTGTCGAACTCTTTGGCGTCGTCGCTGGCGCCGTCGGCGCGGTCGCTCGGGTCGAGGTAGGGTTCCCAGAGGGGTTGTTGGTCGATGTCTATGATGAGGATGCCGATGTCTTGGGGGAGGGAGGGGAGGATGGTGGTTGTGGGCGTGGTGGTGGTGGTGGTGGGTGCGGAGGGAGGGGTCTTGTTGTCGGTGGTGGTGGCGGAGGGCCCGTCGTAGCGGATGTAGGTGTCGTAGACGTAGTCGGAGTCGGCGTCCGAGTCCGAGTCGGAGTCGTGCTTGGGGTGGTCGTCGATTTCCATGCCGTCGGTTGGGGTTGTGCCGTTGGTCGCGTAGGAGGGGAAGCGCCGCTCGGGATGGCGGTCGCGGTAGCGCGGCGTGGCTTTCGGTTGGAACTTGAGTTTCTGGTGCGACGGCAACGACGGCGACGACGAGGATGGCGGGTGGATGGGCGTTGGCTTGCCGTTGGGCGTCGAAGGAGTGGTGGTGGCGGCCCTCCCCTCCCTGCTTTGCCCCTCTGCGTGCTCGACCTCCTGCGCAAACTTCTGCATCTCAGAGAGCAAGCCGGGGTCCACAGGGGCGGCGCTCTTGCTGGCCTTGCTGGCGACGCTCGGGGTCGCAGCCGCAGCCGCAGCCGCAGCCGCAGCCGCAGCACCGTTCGTGCGGACGGCTGGACTTGCGCTCCTCGCCGTCCTGCCAGGTCGTTTGAGCGTCGTCGGCTGCGGCTGCTGCGGCTGCTGCGGCGTCATGCCCGGTCCGGCGTCGCCGTCCACCTGCATCTCGACATCCTGGCTGCTGCTGGCGTCGGGTCCAGCGGCGCCAGCGGCGGCTGTTGCTGTCCGTGTCTTCTTCGGCTTGGATTCCACGAGCGTGGCGACGTTCTTACGCTTTTGCACGGAGCCCCCAGGGCTCGACGAGCGGCTCGGGGCGGACTTTGTGGAGAGGTGGAAGCGCCGGGTGACCGGGGCGGGCGCCAGGATCTTCCGGTCCGAGATGGAGGAGCGGGCGGAGGGAGGCGCTGTCGTCGTGGTTGCCGCTGCTGGGCCGGGGGCGGTGGTGGCTGTCGAGGGATTGGCGGCTGCGAGGCCCGCGGTTGGGCCCTCGACCACGTCAGCGGAAAAACCGGTGGGGTCCTGCAAGACGCGCCTGAACTCGGCTGGGTGGGACGAGGCGGGCTGGTCGAGGGTGAAACGGCGCTTCTTGGAGTCGTCCTGCTGCTGCGGCGTGTAGTGGACGTGCAGCGTCTCGACCGGCTCGTCCTGTCTCTTGCGCTTGATGCGCACCGTGTGCGGCAGCATGCGTTGCGACATGACGGGCTGATGATGGATACGTGGATCGAACGAGGCACGGGTTGGCTGGACCCCACCCGCTCCTGTTGACCGCTTCCTTTCCTCTCCCACGGGCTGGCGTCGTCGATGTCGCCGCTGTCTGGCTTGCGCCTGGACCTTGCTGGATGCTGTGTGCTACTGCTTACCCCAGGCGGGCAGTTGCTTCGTCTGGCAGGGCATGTCAGTTACCAGTCGGGTGGGTGAAGGTTACAGCAAATGCAGTCTTGGTCCTCGACTGCTGAGTGTAGCACGGCACGGCTGAGGATGTGCGCAAAAGTGAAGACATGCAGCAATACGGGAAATGAGAACCAACGGGGATCAAGATCCTGCTGAGACGCGTGGAGTTGGCCTGCGTGCTGTGGCATGCGGTGAGGCAGCAGGACAGGGTGTGGCAGGAGGGCGGAGGGGGCAGTGAAGATGGAAACAGCGGCAGCGGCGGCAGCAACAGCGGGCAAGCTAGGTTTTTTCTTTCTGTGAAACGCCAGTAAGGCAACGGGAAAAAGTAGGCGTACCTGAGGGCCAAATCGAAAGCGGACAAGATCAGAGGCAACGCAGGGTGTAAGAAAGACTGAGCCAGCTAATCGTTGGCGTGGAAATGAAGCGGAGAAATCGTGGCTTACCGGCTAAATTTCTTTCCTGAACACGGCTTATCTTCACGAGAAGCAGCCGGGTCTGGGATTTGTGGTGGAAAGCTGGAGCTCCGGGTGGGTGTGGCGGCATGCAAACTTGTTGAAGTGAGCACAGCGAAGACGTCTTTGTCTCGCCGATCATCCGCCGGCTGAGTCAGCCCCGATTACACACCCCGTTACATATTTCCAGCCCACGAGGTATAACGTACATACCAGGAGGCGGATGCAGCCGCAGATTCGCTAAAATCGCATTCGAGAGCATCTCTAGTGTTTATCCATTGTCCATCGAGTTGGTACATGCTGCAAGTCAAGGTGCACAGCATTAGAGTTTTTTAAGCAGCTGCAATAGATTTAACTTCTAGTTTCTACCAGCTTCTCTCAACAACACCGACATGCAGCTCATGTGCCCAAAGGATGCATCGATGCCGCACCCTCTACAATTCAACCCCAAGCGCATGTCAAACCAAGCTCACACAGCTTAGGCTCATGGAAGACCACAAGCCTGCCGACCTTTTTAACATCGCCCTCAACCCCAAAAGACTTGACTGCCTCCCTAAAGAGAATCCGCTCGTGGATCGTGCCGGTCTTGAACACTCGGGATTGCCTTGGTGCGACCGTGTTCGCGGATGCTGCTTCCTTATCTTTCTGTGCTTCGGCTTGTGCAGTCATCCGTCGCCTCCGGCCCATTGCTGCTCAACAGCCATGATTCAGGCTGATCGTGATCAGTTCCGGGCCATTACCTGGCTTTCCGAGAGGCTCAACTTATGGCTTCCGCTGGCATGGCTGCTGCCATTCAGAGACCAACCAGCGATAGACGCAAGCCGCGGAAATCGGACGGACGCAACCGAGTACGAACGTCTATCGAGTCTTCCGAACCCTCCTCAGAATGATCCAGTACGTTTCTTCATCGCCCGTTTCTGTTTCGAGTACGGAAGACCCAGCAATTCCAAGGATGTCAGTCTCTCCAACTGCTTCTCCGCTGCATCACGCCCACTCACGACAGCGAGCTGGACACGAAAAAACTCGCAAGACTACCGGCCGTCAAGCCAGCGACCAAGCAGAGTCCCATGAAACCGCCTGCAGCCTCCCTCTCTTCCACGTCGACCCACTCGACCGCGCCCATCATGCACGTGCTGCCGAGATAACCGTTGGTCAGGCCGAACAGGAGTTGGACGGCGAGGTAGAACGTGTCGCTATCGATGGCCGCCCCGCGCCCTTGCACGTTGCAGAGGAGGTACAGCGGGATGAACACGACGCGGCCGACCGAAATGGCGAAGACCATCTTCGGCCGCGAGGTCAAGGAGAGCGACTGGAACGCGGGCAGGATGCGGCCGATCAGATCGCCGGCGTTCCAGAACAGGAAGGCGAGGGGGATGAAGGAGGCGGGCTGGAGGAGTCTGGGCGCCGAGTCGACGGGCTGGACGCTCTTGATTTCCTGGGTGAAGACGGGGTAGACCATGGTGATGGCGAAGGCGAGGAAGACGGCGGCCGACAGCCAGATGAGCTTGCGGAGCAGCCGGAGGAGCGGGACCGGCTCGCGCGTGTGGGCTGCTGCTGCTTCGCGCAGATCGCCGATGCTGTCGCTGAGGCTCTTCGTGTGGTGCACCGACATGCGTCTGAACAACAGGTACAAGAAGGCGAACAGGGTGAAGGCGGAGATGAGGGTGGCCGTCATGAAGTATGCGAAGGCGGATTTCGAAGATTGGTCGGCGGCCTCCTCGTCTCCCAGGTCGTCCGTGGGCACGGACAGGACCGATGCGATTTGTGCAATGGCAGGCAGCACGCCAGCTACTCCTTGGCCGACCATGATGGCCTGTGTGTACTCTTCGCGCCCGAAGCCCGAGACATAGGCAAAGACGCCGTTCTGGCAGAGCGAGGTTCCAAAGCTGGCTGCGGCGACCATGGTGATCATGAAGCTGAAGTATCCTTTGGGAGTGGCGTCCAGGAAGTGTCGGGTTGATATGGCAAGGGCAGTGAAGGTAACGACGTTGATGAGGAGAGCGGCCATGATGCGTTTCGGATAGGAAGCGTTGGACTGGAGCTTGGCGAGGATGAGCATGGAGCCCAGATTCACCACGGTTGATGCTGATAGCTGGGCTGATTGAAAGGTGTGGCGGATGCTCTCGTCGGCGATGAAGCGGCTTTGGAAGTAGGGGCCGGCAGCGAGGAACATGTTCCTGGGTTGGCGTTAGCTGACGGCTCGCCATGCTTTGGTTGCATCCCACTCACCAAGCCCACAGCATGGCAACTCCCAGAAGCAGGAATATGGAGTAGTCGACCCATGAGAAAGGAGCCTTGTCCTCCTCCTCCTCCTCTATCCTCGCGCCATCCGGGGTCTCAGAGCCGCCTTCCAGTGGCTCGTAGGGTTGGTCCCGGTCGAGAAGTCTACGCACTCGGTCCATGGTGTTTGAGGGAATGGGAAAGCAGTGATGCGAAGCCTGAAGGACTGGCGGTTGAGCGATGGATGGAAGCAAGTCGTCGGGCGGCGAGGAGGCGTGGGCGCTTGGAAAGCCGGCAGCACAAAGAGGAGGGACGGGAGCGGCTGGAAATGGGCGGCAGCACAGACGGGCTGAAGCTATATCCCAAGCTTCACGAGGGTAGTGGGGCGCGCGGTCAGGCGGGGACACGGAGGAGTCCGGGGAGGTGCATGTGAGGAGGTCATGACGCCGGCTAGCGCCAAGCCGCCCGGAGACAAGGCGGCGATAACCAGCGATAAGCCCCAGGGGTCGACCAATCCCGTCGTGGCTGATCACAACGCTCTTGTTGTCACGATGCTTTTGGTATACGGCCAGAAACCAGATATATATATGCTTTGTACTTTGAGCATTTCAGAAGTAGATAAAAGTGGTCATGAACCATAGTTCAAGCAAAGTTCCATGCACATCCCAACGCCATTATTGCCCGTCTACATGTCATCCAGCGCGCCACGGTTTACCTAGGGCGCCGCAATGGGTGCGCCTCCGTGTTGAATACCCACTCGTCAAGGCTGATTAGCGCCGGGTCGCTGAAGGTCAAATAATAGTACTTCAGGGTCTCGGCCATCCAGAAACTCTCGCAGCTGTCCACCATCTTGACGTTGTCCGGCGCTCCCACATCGTTGATGGCGGCATTGCCCATCTCGGTGCGCGTGTGCTTCTCAACGGCCTGGAACATGTTCCACGCCTTGTCCTGGAAGTGCTCGTCTCCCGTGATCCTGTACATGATGAAGACGCTCTCGATGGCCTCCGGCCGCAGGAGGTATCGTCTGTCGTCGAGCTTGGTCATGCCGGGCGGGATGTTGTAGCGTTCGGCATATCTCCTGCCCACGTCGCGCCCGGTCTTGCTGTTGTGCTCGGCAACGGCATCGTACCACCGGCCTTCGTCCCACAAGCACTCGTCATCTTCTTCGGTGCAGGCCACGGCGTGGAGAATCTCAGGCATGATGCCAGTGCGTGTGCTCTCATAAGCCCAGATGCAGCCGTCCGTGAGCTGGCGGGCCGTGTGGAGTTCGTCGGGGCGGTTGAAGATCTTGGCAGCGATACCGACCATGCCGCCCGTGAAGCAGGCCAGGTGCTGCCCCTCGGTGTCAAGCGTGATCTTGCCGCTGGCCGTGGACCTGACGGTTCCGGACAAGAGGAGATCAAGGTTGTCCTCGTTGAGCACCCGGTAAAACATGTACTTCTTGGCCGCGTCGATGGCGGTTTCGTACATGTAGCGGTACTGGTCCATGACACCTCCCAGGAGCATCCACTGCTTGGGGAAGTACTCGTACAGAGAGTCGGACATTCCGCCAAACGTGAATGTACGGTCGTCGGCAAAGACCTTCTTCCTCGGGTTGACGGCAACCGGCCACAAGCCGGGAACTTTGGTCTCATTCTGCTGCTGCTCGAACTCGTCGGTGATGCGCTGGATGGCATCGAAGAACTTGGGATCCCCAGTGAGCTGGGAGAGCCTGGTGAACTCAAGGCTCAGGGAGCCGACCTCGGCGGACACGGCGGAGCTGGATGCAGACTGTTGCGCCTGGCTGATGCCCTTCACCCTCCAATCCCAGCGGCTGACGGGCATTCGGTTCGGAGTGTCGAAGGCGCGGTAAAGCATCTCACCGAGCTCGGTAGCTTTGGACAGCAGAATCGAGTACTGGCTTCCGCTGAGATCGTAGGCGGACATGAGCCCGCCGAGGTAGCGGATGGTGGTCTCAAAGACATTGAGCGAGTTGAGGTCCGAAGTGGTGAAATCGACCTTGTGCAGGGCATTCACAGCCATTTCGAATTCTTCATGCAGGCCCATGATCCAGAGGGTGTCCAGCGTGTCGACCAGCGAAGCGCCCCATCCGCCAAAGGTATTCTTGTAGCCGCCGGACAGCGGGGTGATCTCATCCTGGAGCCATGCATGCTTCTTGTAGCCTTCCCACGAACGCACGAAGCTGTCCTTGACTGCCTGCAGTCGCTGTTCCCTCTCGGCTCTGCGCTCCGCCGACTCTTCTACGGTTTGAGCGAATTGGATCGTGGGAATGGTTGTTGGCCTGGCTGCCGGCAGCGAGGTGTAAGTCGGGACGGGGTATATCTCGGGGACGTCCTTCCAGCGGATCGGTCTTTGGAGGTCGCGGTCGGCGTAAGTGCGCAGAGGTATGGGACTCGGCGGTTCTCGCACAGAGAGGTGGGAGACATGGAAGAGAGCGAATATGGCGCAGAAGGCCACAAGGGCAATGAGGGTGGAGCGGCGCATGAGAGCCATCTTGCCCGGGACTACTGGCAAGGCGTGGTGGAAAGGCGAGGAGAGGCGGAAACCATGGGCTCAAGTAGGGAGAGGGGAATGTGTTGGCGCCAAGTAACGGGAGCTGAGTGAGCTCAATGTCTGCAACACAGCGGGGAAAGATGCGAAACACAGGCTGAGGGCCTGACGGGGGCGGAGCTCGAGGCCAGAGAGAGGCTAAATGAAAGGCTGCAAACGGCGAGGAAAGGAACAGCAGAGAGAGGGAAGATATGGTTATCCTGGTTGGCACGGAAGCCAGAAATAACACGAGGTTAAGGAGAGGCATACGAGACTGAACCCTGGCACGCCTAGAAGGAGGCGTCCGTTTGGGGTATCGATAACCACCAATGGCGTCAGAGCCCACTCCCCACCACCGCCATTGGACGCCTGTCCATCCAAATGTCCCTTTTCGCTTCACCTGCGTCAATCGGAAGGTGCACGCCATCCCCGACACGCCGGCGCGCGAGGCTCCGGGCGCAAACAGCAGGCGGTGCGGCAAGCAGTGGGCAGTGCGAGCAAGCGACCGTCGCGGGCGCGCGAGGCCAGCGGCCGGGCCAGTGCGTGTTGCGCCGTGCTGCGCTGTGTTGCGGCGAGTCCCCGCGGGGCGCGCGACGCGCGACGACCAGCACGCATCATCGTCGTCTCAGCCACGGCGATCCGCCCGCCCCTCCGCACTTCTTCGGCGCCAGTGCGCCTCATCTCGCCCGCGCCGCACCTCTCGGCCAAGCCTCCAGCCCGCTCCCATGGCCGTGACTGCGTGCGTCCACCGCCCTCGCTCTCCGCTCCTCTCCTTCCCACCCACCACATGGCTCCCGACTTCCGCTGCTCCGCCCCGCTGACCACCGCGTCCGTGTAGCGTGTACTTCGTCGCCGCAGCCCACAATGCCCCGGGCGTGGCCGAGCTGACCGACCGCCTCATCCGCGCCTTCGACCCCGTGCCCGCCGGCAACTGGGGCCTCCACCACCGCTCCTTCCGCTCCACGCCGCAAAACACCACCGACAAGTCGCCCCCGCACTTCCAGCATGTCCTCGCCCTGGGCCACTACCCCGACCGTGCCTTTGTGCACATTGCCGGCCCCGATCAGCAGCAGGACCAGCAGCAGCAAGACCACCAGCAGCAGCAGCAGCCCTCCACCGTCGCCATTCCGCTGCAGCAGATGGAGCAATACAGCCAGCTGCTGAGCCTCAAATTCGGCGCCCTGTGGATGTACCGCATGGGCTCGCAAGTCGGCGTCGGCGCATCATACTCGGTGGGTGAATTCACCGTACGCTTGGGCGAGCTGCGCGAAAAGGGCGGCCAGAACGCCCTGCGCGGGACCGTCGTGTGCATCCAGACGGCTAAACAGGAGTCGCGGCCCGACGAAGGAGAGGCGCCCTCCGCGCGAATCGATGCCGACGAGGAGCTGCAGGCGGGTCAGGCGCTGGTCCGCGACGTCTGGTCACGCTTCAGCGTGCCTCAATTCAAGGAAACCATCACCTCCCGCCCGGCCGCTCCCGAGGCTGACGATCAGCTCTTCGACGAGGTCCGGCTCTGGTGCGAAGCTCTGCGCTTCCAGAAGTGAGCAAGAGAGAAAGAGAGAGAGAGAGAGAGAGAATGTGCGTGAGACAGCACACACCGCTCGGCAAGGGCGAAGTCAGCAAATCGCCATAGACGACCGAATAGGCCAAGTCCGACATCATCTCGGCTAGTTAGGACGAAAAACCCCCCCGACAATGAAGCTGCATTACTTTGAACACGGCTGCATGCCCGTGGCTTGAGCTGCATGACCTGCAATGCATGGCGGCTTTCCCGCCGCACGAGACATGTAACTTGTTCCCGCTGCAACCACTGCGTCAGGCTGGTACGCGGGCATCAAGCCTTGCTTCAACGACAGATTCGTATGCACGCGTTGTGCCACCAGTTGCCGTGGCCACGGGTTGGCCACCAAACGCCGCCAATGACGCCCAAACTCTCTTCCGATGCCGACCACGGCCGCCCAGGTATATCTGTGTTCCAATCCCACTCTCTCGTCTTGCTCCAAGCGGTCCTGCAACGCCCCGTCGACCTTGATCATCCATCTCTCTGCTATAGGGAAGGATGTGAGGTCTCAGGCAGATCTTGGCCGACGGTGCGACGGCGGAATTGCCGACCAAACCTCGTGCTCTATGCCTCATTTGTGTTTGACGGCTGCTGTACGAGGATGCTCGCGCCATCAGACACGGTCACACTGCCTCGTTGCAGCACCGTCATTTATTCCGCACTAAGCGCCTCGCTACAGGAGGTACCTCCGACGCCATCGTCTTCTTGCCCCCCATTCCCGCCTCGCCGGGACCATCCTATGCAGAACGACCCCTCGCGATCGGTGCTCCCTCTGTTCCCTCCAACTCGCGAATCGCATGCGTCGAGGGGACGTCTAGGTCCCAGCCGGACGCGCTGATGTGCCGTTGACGAGTCGAAACGAGCGCGATTATGGCCTGTGTGTGATACGACATGATATAGCCTTCAGATCTCGGCGGCGGTGAGTTCAGTGATACCGGATGGTCAGCAAGCCACCGAGAAACGCCACCTCGACGGTGGTTTTTGGGGGTCGACGCCCTCCCCGGGCCTGGGCTGAAGTCGGTCGCTTTGGGCTTTTTTCTCTCTCTTTCGTCCAACCCCCGGTTGGATGGTCCGGGGGGCGGGCCAATGGATGGGGAAGTGGAAGCCGCGCTGCGTCGAGGTGGATGAAGGTCCAAGTCTACTGCATAGTGGAAGCCGCCAAGAGCTTGATTAAAACAATGTGTGCCGGAGCGTTCTCGGGCTGTTCAGAATAGACGGCATTCAGCCGGAAAGTGCTCTGTGTACAGGCGCGTCGGTGTGTGGTGTAGCTCACCACCTCGCGGGAGTCCAAGTTCAAGATGACTTATGATTGTCTGTACCCGTCAGCAAGGCCTTGGGTTAATTAAGTCCATCAGCTGAAACGTCCCAGTATATGTTGTCTACAACCTTGGCCAGACTGTCCTTGTCCGCAATCCACGTCGGGCTGCAGGCTGGCTCTCGGTTCTCAACATGACGGTGGTGATTGAGTCCTCTCCCGTCGGCGCGTCAGTCCGCCTCCCTAGCGCTGACCCGAGCGCCTTGGCCTTGCAGCATGGAGGATCCTTCTCAGAGGCTTGCCTCATCTACATGAATATCGTGCACACATCAATGACGTCTCCCGAGTCCCAAGGCAAACCATCCAACTCGTGGTGAGGGTTGGTGGTGGCACAATCTCGATCGCAACTGCAAACGCCGGGACCGACAGCCTGATTTCCGACAGCCACCGGAAGGGGATCCTGCTTTTATTTATTTTGTTTCTTTCTTCCTTTCTTCCCCTCTCTCGGATGCATATATAAATACCACGGCAAGGTCGTAGTCATCTACACGCCCATCACCCCGTCCGTCCGTCCGTCCCCCCGTTCCTTCCTCCCGCTATCTACACCCCTCCTCCTCCTTTCCCCGCCATCTCCCACCCCCTCACTCACCCACCCCCTCACTCACACTCAAGCCGCAATATAAACCCCCGCCTCAAACGCCTCGACATAGCTCCCCCCCGGCACCGTCCACTCCTCCAACCCTTCCTCCTCCCCAATCTCCTTCCCCATCAACCAACTAACCATGTTCCCAAACACCACGCTCCCCGCCGCGTTCAGGTGCGTGCGGTCCCCCGCGACGAGGTTGTACGTGTACGCCGCGTCGAGGCCGATGGCGTCGAGGTACGCGACGCTGGCGGCGTTGAGGTCGATGGAGAGGGCGGACGAAGCGGAAGCCACGGCGAGGGTGGCGGCGCTGTGGGCGGCGAGGTTGCGGGTGATGGTCGTGTTGGCCGGGGGCGCGTATTGCCGGCGGGAGAGGGGGGTGACGAGGATCTGTGGGGGGTGGGGAGAAGGGTGGTGGTGAGTATGGGGGTTTTTGAGCGGAGGGGGGTGGGGGAGCGGGTGGTTCTTTTCCTCCTCTGCTCTGCTCTGCTCTGCTCCGCTCCGCTCTGGGGCTTTTCTTTCTTTTTGTTGGAGGAGGAGGAGGTGGTGGCGGAAGCAACACCACTACCTCCTCCTCCCGTCGCCCAGCGCGATCTGACGCTGTCTATGCAAGAGTCCGGTCGCGGAAGGGCGGGTGCGAATTGGGGGGGAGGGATAGGGAAAAGCAAGGCGAGGGCTGCTCTCTTCACGTACCGGCTTGCCGCCCGCGTCGCGCACGTCCTGGACGAACTGGGCCAGGTTCGCCTTGTAATGGTCGATGGTGATGTTCTTGTCCGTCTTCTGGTCGTTGTGGCCGAACTGAGGAGAGGGAAATCGTCAACCGCCTTGTCCTTCATTTTCTGCAAATCAGATTGATGGCAGCTCACCTGAATGGTCACGTAAGGCGTGTATTCGTCGACGGCGTCCCGGACGGCCTGCAGCACCGTGTCCCAGTCGCCGTCGGCGCGGAAGCTCACGGTGGTGGCGCCGTTGTGGCCGTAGTTGGCGCCCGTGGCGCCGTTTTGCAGCGTCGTCTCGAGAAAGCCGGTGCCCCAGCCGCCGCCGATGTCCGACTGCACGGCCGTGGTGCTGTCGCCGGCGAGGAAGAAGGCGGCGGGCTTCGTGTCTGCGCGCTTGACGGACGGCTGGGGCAGGGCCGAGGCGCTGCTGAGGAGCAGGAAGGCGGCGGGGAGGAAGAGCATCGTTTAGGTCTGTGGTTGCCTAAAGCGGTAAGGGGGTGGTGGTAACGAATGTGGGTGAGGATGAGGCGATGGACGACTGCGCGTGTTGTGCCGCATTTTGGTCGATTTAAAGACACGTCCTTTTCTTGTCGTCGCTGCCGCCGCGTCCGCCGCGTCCTGTCCGTGTCGGCGCTGGTGAAACGCATCTAGCTGGTGGTGCGGGGCGCACGGAGGGAGTGGCAGACACGGCGGGTGGTTCATGCCAAAATACGAAGACATGGTGTTTGGCGACGCTGCCGGCTCCAATCAGGGCGGCGATGGATATTGGGCGCCGACTCGGAAAGTCTGGGCGGGAGGGAGGCGCGAGTCGCGGCGAGCGGCGAGCGGCGAGCGGCGAGCGGCGAGCGGCGAGCGGCGGACTTGGCTGGGCGAGGCGGCGAGACGGCGAGACGGCGAGGGCTGGGCCATCTGGGGCATCTCAGTCATTCAGTCAGGCGCACCAGGCCATCAGGCACGGCGGCGGCGGCGGCTCGTTTGACGTCATGGCGGCGGGCGTACCCGACGACCGTTGCTCGTTCACGTCGCCTGTGGCCCAGACCGTGGACCCCTATCTGGAGGAACCGCCTTTTTCCTTCCTGATATGCACAATGATGTGCCTTTCGGCAGGGCGCGATGCGATGGGCGATCCCGTCGCCTTTAAGCTCACGACGAATCGACCGATCTAGGCCTGGCGAGATCTGCCTAGCCCCAAACGAGGCTACAGATGAGGATTCTTGGCGCCCCTCTGCCCAACCGCAGCCCCGAGCCCCGTTGCACCGCTGACGTCGCCGCGCAGCCCCCCGGACAATCGCTTTCTTGAGAAAAATTAGCTGTTGCACCCCTTCTCGGCAGGGCAGACAGGGATCGCCCCGAACCTGAACCGCACATTCTCCTGCTAACCCCCTCGATCCTCTGGACTTTTGGCGATTCCCGCCGCCTATGGCCTGCCCGAGCCCTGCTGATGAGCCCTGCTGCTGAGCCCTCCCGCCTCGGGACGCTCAGCGCTCCATGGCCGCGAGGCATGCTGACGCCATATATCGTACCATCGTCAACCCCCCCGCCAGCACCGACACTCGTCACCAGCCCAGCCTCCCAATCACCCAGACCCCCTTCTCGATTCGATCGCCCTCGACCTATAGCCCGCAGCCGGTACGGGAAGGGCCCGTGGGGCGCTTGCTTTACCGCTCTTATCCCATCTCCGTTCGCAGTGAATGCCGTGTTGCTGCTGATGCCGCTGATGCTGCCACTGCTGCTGCTGCCGCCGCCGCCGCCGCCGCCGCCGCCGCATCCCTGCACGGCCGCCACCACAGGACGCGGGCATCAAAGGTTTCCGCGGCGGTGAGATTGCCATTGGGAGCTCTTCCCCTCCCCTCCCCTCCCCTCCCCTACCCCTCCCCTCTCCGTGCTGCGGAACCAGCGCCGGCGCGTCAAAGTGGCGGTCGTGGACTGCTTGTCGGTGACACCGCGGCTGTCTGCCTGGCATTGTTGGCGCCGTGATGGACGTGGCGATGGCGGTTTAGGGAAAGTCGGATGGTCTGACCCTGCCTGTGGTTTCCATGGGGGAGGGGAAGCGCCGCTGGGGCACGGCTGGAACGGCTGGAACGACTGGCACGGCTGGCACGGCTGGCACGGCTGGCGCGGCTCGAGTGTGGTACAGCTGCGCTCGAGTGGATGCTGGACGTCCTTCTGTTTGTTGTGACACGTCTGATATCGGGGACAACTCCGTGTTCGTGTTTACGTCGTGACTGGGGTTGCCGTCGTATCGTTGGTTTTGACGGGAAGGGGGGGAGGGGGGGAAAGGAGAAGCTTCCGAAGCTGGTCTGGGGCCGTCACTGCTGCCGTTTGGGGGTCTGGGTCCGGCGAGGAGCTCCAGTGTTGGCTGGGACTCGCAGCAGGTTCGCCCGCCTTTCGCGGAGCGGTGTCTTTGACTGTCGGTGAGTGGAAGGTGAGCAAAGGATGAGTGGTTGATGAGTTACGGCCCGAGCTTACGAATTGGTCCATGGCTTGGATAAAAGATCCTTCGTCTCGTCTTCTTCGGCATCGACTTCCACGCAGAAGGACACCCCTGACCCAAAGGAAATTAGCCATTGCAACAGCTTCGTCCAGGGCTTTTCTCACAATCACATATTCCAGAATCGCTGACTTACCTAGCGTCACTTGAAAATCGCATTGCGTTGGCATCGAGATCCATCATGGCTTTTGAGACATCACGTCGTATCTTGTAGGGATGTACGCACTAGGCCATTAAAGGGTCCGTGGTTCCACCTTTCCGAATCGGTTGCGAGTGATTGCGGTCCAAGTCCTGACTTTGGACCCGAATGTCGGCTTCATATCTCTTTGGCTCTCCAGTCAGGGCCACGAGTGTCGTCTACGACTTGAACGGGCACGCGAGGGGTACCGAACGAGTATGTCGAGTCCTGCGAGGTGATGGCCCTGCAGTCGGAGGTTGGGTCCGCCTCCGCGCCTCTCGCACCGGGTTGCTGTAAGACTGGGAGCGGCGACTTCGCTGCCTAGTAAGTGACGGTTACAGGTAGACAGTTAGAGGGGCTCGCTAAGTATACACACTAGCGACTTGCTTCCAGCCACTACTACGTCCGTAACAGAGTGAACTGGCTGGTATGTCCGACCAAGGCCCGAATCCTCTAACGGCACATGCCCGAGGCCCCGTTAATCGAGGCTCCGCCTCTGGCTTACCTATTGCTAGCGGAGTGATTTGTCGGGAGACGAAAGAAGGGTTTGTCTACAGTGTAGATCGCTCAACTGCCGGATGCTCGCCCAGCATACCCCTTTAAGCAACCATGGGGTTATCTCTTCACCAGCCTCCAGGGTATGGCTTAGGTAGACGCTCTGGATCGCGACCAGTGCAACCATCAGAGCGCAGGAATGAGGTCTGGCCACACGCTTCCAGTACGACGACAGTCTTAGCTCTCGGAGGGCATCTCTAGGGAGCCAAATGTGCGTATGTACATGTAATCATGCATTCAGGGAGCGCTGTGGAATATTGACGTCCTTCGATAGATAATTACCGAGCCATCGTGGGCGCCAGCGCCAGCCTCTTCCGACCTCATTGGCCATTTCATCGGTAATTTCTCGTTGAGGACCCCATGTTCGATGATCTGTGGGGCCAGACTTGTCGGTGTCTCGATCGTCTACTCCGTACTCGGTACCGTCTTGATTCCGTCAATCGTGCTTGCAGTCGCACATCAGAAACGAGACGAAGTCGCAGATAAAAGAGGTTCGTCCGATGCTTGCTTCGCATGAAACTTGTTTCGCAATACACAAGACTTGGCTGGCGATGATGCTTGTTCGTGAGGTGGGGCTGCCAGCAGCCTCGGTCTTTTGAACCGATTGAGCGCACTTGCTTCCCCGCGATGCGCATGGTGTTTCTTATGATGTAAACACATGGAGCCACGTAGGTCAGGACCTGCCCCGGCTGGACTGCACCTGGACCTGGAGGGCATGGGACGTGTGGACTCCCCGCGTCGCGAATCAGCTTGCGTTGCAGTGGTGGTCGGACTACTCCGACGCCGACTGCAGATGGCATACGTCCCGGTTCGCGCACCCTACTGCTTACGTGCGTCTCTCACGGTGTTTTCCCTGACCGGTCTCGTATGCCCGGACGTGGTGACATGAGCGTGGTCGCGTTTGAGATGATGTTATAAAACACGGATGACGAGCCATGTGTAACAGGCTTGGCTCCAGTCAAACGAAAAGGTTTCTCCAACTTGCTTGTAACGTTTTGGCGGTGTGCGCATGGAAGTGAAGGCTAAGTGCCCTAGCGCGGGCGATCTCAGCTGTCGTCTCCCCTGCTCAGTGATTTTTTTTACCACACTAGTAAGCCAGGGTAGTGACCACTTAGATCGGCCTGAGCTGGAGCCGATGAACCGCTATACCAGATACCGAGTAGGAATGGACACCGACCGGGCCTCTACGGAAGACGCGGAGCCGCAAAGCAAATCACAACGCATCTACCTAGAGAGTCCCCTAGCAACCCCTGGCTTAGAACCAGGGGGTCTGTCGGGCACCTACTTCCTAGTGTGTCCTTTCCAATGCCTTGGGAAGCCGTTGGCCTGGTGCATTATTTGCCACGAATGACTGCGATAAGTGACCAAATCGGCAGCTCCCCCACACCTTCTTGCACTGAGACTCTTGCAGGTGGCAAAAACAATCATCGTCGATTTGTTGGACAAGACACTTGGCAGGGTACGCAATCCTCCTGGAGCATCCGTTATTCCCGTGTGACAAGGCTCTCCAAACCCTCGCCAGTCGCCGGGTGAGGATGACTCGCATGGCTGGCGCATGCCAGGCCAGGGATTCTTGCCTGCCCACCGACCGCACCCGCTATCCCAGCCATATACTGGCCTCGGCCAGACAGCGCTGCATAGGTGACATGGAGGGAGCCATTGAGTGTGCATGTTTTCGGTATACCCCAAAACACAGTCTCCGCTGGACCGTGCTCTCAATTACAGGGGGTTTCGGGTACTGATCCCCAAGAGGTTGCCCTCAAGCTGACCCTGTTTTCGGACACACGGACGTCACTAGTCATGGGTGAGCAGTGTGATGCCAGAATCTCGAAAGGCTACATGGTAATATGCATGCGCCCGGTCTCGCGCCCAACCTGGGCCCAGATTCCCCCCTCTCTTTCTCTTCCTCTTCACCTTGGCTCTGTGTCAAGCGACACCGCGCGTCGAACCGAGACGATGACCGCCCACAGCGAAAGCCCACAGAGGCTTCTTGTGCCATGCTCGCTGGTGCCTAGGAACCGAACCCGGCTTCACTTCCGCACCCCCCACTGCGCGATCACGTCAGCCTCTTGACTCGGGCCCTATCGGAGAAACGCAAGCTGCGTCCCCGCCAGTGAAGAGGGTTTATACCTACGGATCTGCTCGCATGCCCACTGACAGTATGAATATCTGGTAGATCGTCTTCCCGTCTTCTCCACGCGACTCGAAACGTCAGCACCGTCAACGAGCCGTCACCGA